AAAATGCTGAGAAAAAAGGTCTCACGATATCCCAGAAGACTGTTTTGACAGCCAGGTTTAGATGCTGATAAACTGTTAAATGTGACTGACTGTCACAGGATGCTTGTGGGTGAGACTCTGTGTTAGTGAGTGACAGTAAGAGAATTTGCAGAGATAACAGCACAATCAGAGAGAGCATATCTTACGACTCAAAGGCTGTCACTTGCAAACAGTTCCCAAAACAACGGCGCGCTACGGAATAAAAAACTGCACTGAAAAAAATACTAAGTATTAAATTAGGAACTTCACTGTAGCTTGGTACCAATATTACAAAAACATGCACACAAACAACACACTAAAAACAAAACACACAAAGACTATGAGATTTATTCTCTGAACTGCAGTGAACTGAAACCTGAATTGTTAAATAAAGGCTATTCAGCTATTTTTGCAATTAGTTTTTTGTTTTTTTTAAATCACTAAAATTCACAGAGTTATTCACTAGAGAATTGTTGGGAATTCAAAGTAAATTTCAAATTGTATTTCTAAATATTGAGTTCATAGCGTAGCTGACTTGGAAAATTGTTTAATTCTTACAAAGGTTGTTACTTTGGTGCAGTGATTTTTAATATTATGTTTACTTATCCCTATAGTTAAGAATTATGCATTTGTGAGGTGAGAAAAAAAAATGAAAATGAAATGTAGAAAAATCTAAACTTTATCCTTCAAATGGTTGCCTCCATGTTGGTTCCCTGTCAGTCATGGTTATAAGCTCTGCCCTTTGCATCTGTCTGTGAGCATAGAGAGGAGAGGAGACATTAAACAATGCATCTATTTCTCATCCTCATTTGACACAAATTGTCCTTGCTTTGCCTAGAATAAAATGGATGATGACCTAAATCTTTAATATAAATATAAACAGATATAGAGAATTACTTGAAAATAGGTTTACAGAAGTTTTAAGTGATTTTCAATGTTTTATTAAGGGGTGTAAATCCCTCTGGCACATGAACTGAAACCGAGCATCTGATAGAGCAGAGGTAAGCAATCTATGGCACTCCATATGTTTTGGACTACATTCCCCTAGGTGCTTGGACAGCATCATTTCTGTAATAGCATTATTGGAGATATAGTCCACAACAACTACAGTGCCAAAGATTGCCTACCCCTGTGATAAAGCATCATGCTAAAAAATATATTTGTGGGTTTTTTCTCTGCCATTTAGGAGTTAAATCACTTTTGTTTCTGTTTATGCAGCCCTAGCCACACCTCCCCTGGCTGTGACTGACACAGCCTGCTAGTAAACAAAAGGGTTTCATTTTCAATCAGATGTTAACTTTCTGTAAAAGTTTTCCTCTGTTGCTGTCACTTGTCCTGTATTTACACACAGGAGGCCACTGCAGGGTCTAAAAGGCTATTAACAGAGAAGGAGATACGAAATTCTAAATTAAACAGACTGTGCAATAAAGGAAGTTTAAGTCACATGCAGGGAGGTGTGACAAGGGCTGTATAAACAAAGTAATTTTACTCCTAAATGGCAGAGAATTGAGCAGTTAGACTGCATGACTTATAGTTGATTTGATGCCTGTAGTGTCCCTTTAAAGGTGATGATAGTTCCAACCTGCAAAGTTGCATAAATCAGAGTGTGACATGCTAAGAAGACTTTGTATAATACAAAACAGTGTCAGTAGGGAGACTCTAAATTTACAGGAAAACGCTGATTCTCTTTATTTTACTCAGTCTGTACAGGCAGTGGATATAATTATAATAGCTAGCCATGCATGTGTTGGTTCTAAGATTGAGGGTATTAACTCTAAGAGGTGCCAGAGAATATGAAAGTGAAAAAAAAAATATCCCACATTTCATCACAAAATACTGGTACATTAATCATCTTAAATTGATGGGTTTTGGGAAAATTAACCCCTTCTTGACAAATGCAGTCACATGAAGAACAACCAGGGTCATAATGGTCGCGACAGCAACCGAGACCTGGAGTTCTGCCTGCCACGACAGGCCCAGGCCAGTAGGGGGACCCGCTTGTAAAACTGGACAGGATTGTATTGAACTAAAATGTTAGAATGACAAATTGTGACTATAGCTATTTTTTCAGATCATATCGAGAAATGAAATATCTTGCACCAATAAGATCCTTTGTTGCTGTTGCTGTATTCCTGTGATGCACTATGAATAGGCATATTCCATTTCAAATCCTAGGCTGAATGTCGGGGTGCTCCTATCTTAAGTGAGCACATGACCCAAAAGGGGTTACATGAAATAATTAGACTTAGGAACCACTAAGGCAGAGTGAAGAGGATTTAAACAACACACCCTCGCCTGCATTTTGGTTGAGTTGCTACTATCTCGCGGCTTGCACACTACTGAATTTATAATACAGTTCAGATCATGAAAAAGGCATAATGGAATTGGAAAAGGTCCAAAGAATGGCATCAAAATTAATAAAGAGGATTAAATGATGAACTCGACAAAGAAAACACAATTTCTTCATTGAAGAAAAAAGGCGCTCAAGAAATTATTACCATGTATCAATAAAGTGACCTCTCAGGGGACCTGATCATCCCAAAGAACATGCAAACAAGAGGACATTACTTAATAATGCTAAATAAAACGCAGTGGGGTTATCTTTTGGATTAACAAAGACAGACAGATAGATAGATAGATAGACAGACAGACAGACAGACAGACAGGCATATAGACAGACAGACAGACAGAACTATAATCATGAACTTTACACTAAGTAAGTAGAGCTACAGATAGACAATATAAAATATTTCGATGAAATACTCGCGCCTGTAACTGAAACAGATACATGAATCAATTAATAGATTTCATTGCATTTTAATATAATGTGCAATGAATTGCCCCTTCAGTAACTACATTAAAAGTTTCAGAATTTACAAAAAGTAAACACATTTAGAGATTTGACTTAGACCTTACGAAACGTACTGATTACTCTGTCTCATTTCGAAATATGGCTAAGCGCTAGGAACTACAGAAGCAAATTTTAAAGTATTTACCTGCACCTGTCGGGCCGCGTGAGCCGAACAGGCAATACTTTATACTTACCATTCAGCCCAGCGAACAGCACCCTCTGCTGGTTTGCATTGGCCAAAATCATTTTAGCTGTTTTCTTCCCTGCAATATATTAGACGCTGCCCGTTTCAATGGCGCATTGTTTATAAATTAAAATGCTGTGATGTCATGCCCACCCTTTAAGTCACCACGTCCTCCAGTTGACCTCATTACCAAACATTTCAGAGTCACAGAGGTAATGTGGACCAATCAGAAACATAGTTAGCCTGTATAATGCCTATTTGGACCCTTATTTTTCTGCCTTGATAAACGTTAATGTTTATAGTAAGTCTTTCTTTATATATTCTGATGTTGACCATGGCTTGTATTTGACTTTGTGTATTTCTGGTATCCTGACCTGGCTTGTTTTGTGACCTTGAGTATTTCTATTATCCTGACCTGGCTTGTTATTCCATTTATCCATATTTCTATATTCCTGACCATAGCTATTACACACTTTGTCTTTATCTTTTAGTTCGGCCACTTTAAGGCCGGATAATATGTTTATCTAGTACCTCTGTTAGTGGGATCTGCTACTCCTATAAGATGGGATACAACCTTGTGACACTGATTAACCAAAGGCAGCAAACACGAGGTACAGAGACCCCTCTATGGCCCAACAAAATTAAAGAACACAAAAGGTACAGGAAACAGGTGGCACCTAACCAAATTAACAAAGTATAAAGAGCAAATTAAAGAAATATGAAAGACAACAGGCGAACAAAGATAAAATATATCGTCCCAATATTCATCTGATGGCCTGAGCTCTTGTTAGGTCTGCCCTCAAGGTGGTACTATCACCATACCAGGGTGGTATGGCTGGCATGGTCGGCTCACAACTTCTTCAATAGTGTTCACAACAGTGTTCTTTCCCCATTTTTATCATTGTGCCCATTTTAGGCCTCTCCCTTACCCATTCTTTTACTGAAAATATGTGATTTTTACTTTTTGTAAAAATGTGATTACTTATATGTTTTTCCATAGCTTCCCCTTTTAAAGATCTCCAACAGGGCTCATTTTTGTTGTCTCTGTGATTTTATCCATAAACTGGGATGCAGGGTGACTCCCATCCTTAATGCTTTTATGCTTACAACCATAAATCTGACCTTCAGTTATTACCGAGCCTGGTCACATGATGCAGTTAGACTGGAAAAAATTAGATTTAGTCTAAGGCAAGGAAAGTTTTTTTTTTTTTTACAGTAAGAACAATAAGGATGTGGAATTCTCAGCCTGAAGAAGTGGTTTCATCAGTACATATGTTTAAACAGTAACTGTATGAATATCTGCAAAAACATAATATACAGGGATATAATTTTTAATTTGTTGGGTAACAGCTTCTTGATCCAAAGAGAGATCTGACTGCCATTCTTGGGTTGAGAAGTAATTTTTACTAATTTACTGAAAAACTGGATGCACTCCAAACTGGTATTTTTCCTTCATTTGGATCAACAGCAAAAGCAGATGTTAGAAAGGCTGGACTTGATGGACGCGTGTCTCTTTTCAGCCTATGTACCTATGACATATGTCTGTTTCTGCTGTTGATCCAAAAGAAGGTTAAAAAACAAAACATAATTTGAAGCAATTTCTAGTTGTGTCTCTAAATGGAAAGAAAAAGACACCTTGACTTCAAAATGATTCAGTAACCTGACATAGCAACTATAATATCCTTGGACATGCTGGTTTTTCAAAAATATGTTTTCAAATCTTTTATTAAACAATATTTACAGATTCTGATAAAACAACCTGTTTGGGCAGATTATTCAACATCTTTCTTTTAATGCATTAATAGTGCTGTGTTAACAAAGAGTAATAAATCCATATTAGGTATCCCTTTAAGGATTCTCCTAGCCACACAATATGTTTTACTGCAGCTCTGAAAATGATGTCCAAATATGAAAATATAATACAAGTTACGTATGACTAGAAACAGGAAGCAAAAATGCTTTAGAGAAAAAAAAATAAACATAAATGCAAAACCTGAGACTACAGCAATAAAACATTCCCATGTAAGGAGATTAAAATTCCCCAGAATCATTTTCAAACCATTATAAAGTCATTATGGTCGATGTATAGTGCAGGTGCAGCAGGTGCCAAAAGGGACGCACACAAATCTTTTATGAAGCAATACAATACAATTCTGTTATGCACCATGTGCAGGGGGGTTGAATTGTAGATGTACATCATATTTACATATTGCTATAAAGACAAAATTATCTAGAATCATCACATTCTACCATGCATGCACTGGGCTTTATTCTCTAAACACACAAATATAGCAAAGTAAAAAATAGAATTCAATGTTTAGGTTAAAAAATACATTTAGAGAGAAATCTCTGAATCTACTATAGTCACAGCTTGGCTATTTAAAGGGACACTATAGACACTGTAAGTGCTTCATCTCAGTGAATTGGTTAAAGTGTCCCTTGGAGTCGCCCTTCCATTCAGCTTAAACCTTTTTTAATGTTTTAAAGCTAAATGAGAGTCCCCAGATGCTCATCCATTCTGTGCCTTATCAGGAAACATTAGCCTGACCAGCAATGGGGGCAATGATTGGCTGAGAGTGTCAGCTGACTGCTTTCAGCCTATCATAGTGCCTGTTGCTTGTATGAATTGGTATGGCTAGAAGGAAGTGTGTAACCTCTGCTTTAGCCATACCTCCAATGGGGGCTGGGCTGTGGGAAGCCATAGGCCCTTATTCAGCGTTAAACCAATTGAAAATTTACTGTATGGACAGTGCCATGGTTTAAATTCCTGGTGGCTGTCATTCTGACAGCCACTAGAGGCGCTATAAGGTACTATAAATAAATCCAGGAACTATATAAGTAAATAAATTAGATGGAATGGTTTTAGTGTCTACAGTGTACCCTAAGGCCTATGTTTTGCAACTTGAGTTTCAGTTCACTGTAGTCTGTTGTTTAGAGAATAAACCCTGTGTTATTAAATTGCATACCACCCAACAGTCCTGCCATTGGCAGTACAGTCCTGATTTGGGGTTCAGAGACTGTTGACAAACTTCAGTGGCATGTTTAGGAAAATAAATGTTGATTTATAGATTTCTTGTTACTCATCTATCTTGGTATACATTTTTCAGTTCCTTTGACATTTCTGAAGCATTTTTACTAATGGTGGTCTCCCCGGTTAATCTACCCAGATTAAGCCACGTGAACGTATTCCGTATAATTTTGGCATGATATACAGAGGATTATAGTTAATTAAATTCCAACTCTAAAGCGGATATTAACTACAAAGATATTACAATCCCATCATTTTTCTGTCCTGTTTTATTCATTAACAATAATCTTTTTGTCACAGATCTCTGTTATTCTATCTTTCGACACTCTTACTTTGCTTTTTACATTGCGACATTTATTCTGTTACAATTTAGCCAGTCTTTATTAGATAGTCATCAACGCCCTGTTCCAGCTTTCTTCTTTTCTTCATTCTTAGATGCGACCCCCACCCCCCTCTCTGCAATGGCTCAGAGCTCTGCATTCTAAGCTGCAAAACTACGGCGCTCACGCTGCCCTTTGCAGGTTAATGCCTTCATTTATGTTTTCAAACTCATTTTGCCAGAAATAGCAGTCGCTGCGTGGCACAAATCACAGCCTGCAAACCAAATGAAACCGTGGGCAGTTTCCCTTTTAACAAAATCCCTGACACAAAGAGCGGGTTGCAGTTTAAAAATGACTGCGTGTCTCGGAGCTTTGACAACTAACACAATATAGAAGCAGGGAGGGGGCGGCAGAACCATTGTGACAAGTGATCATCGCGTACCCCATTCATTGATCCCCTTCTCTACCACACGGAGCTGTAATTCAAAGCAGGAGCCCACCATCGTCAAAGAGTTAAATGTATCTCAGATTTTTAACCGAGATATGATAATGTGTGCAGTGGATACGTATATGGTGCAGTAGTGATGTCGGACGTTCTGTATTTATAATGACTGCATAATGTTAGCGTTGCTTGATGCATCGGGATGAGGAGAAATGAATAGTACTGAAGGGCCAACGATAATGTTTAACCATTATATAGTTGCATGGTACAGTCATTTTGCCTTTTGGGGGGGAGATGCTTATGACTTCTTCATTCTTTTGGGAAGTACATGAATTTGCTGCCCAGCAGTAGGTAGGATCCCAATGATGCCATAATGGTTAGTTAGTTAGTTAATTTCACACTGGGAGTGCATGGATTCCACTGCTGGGCAGGACTTTAAGTCGTGCTTCATATAGGGTTTGTCAGGTCCAGCATATTGTCCTATCAGTGGTAGAAAGAGGATCCAGGCACTCCAAGTATCTTCAAATGTATTTAGTGGGACAAGTGAGACACCGCAACATTTCGACACCTTAAAGGGTCATTGTCACCCTACATTCCACCAAAAATAACAACCATTTATAGGACTATAGACCTAGACATATATCATTTATAAACATTGATGGGTAGAATGTGAAAGTGCTGACCAGCAGTATGTAGAATTCAAATGTTACAGGATGTAATGCAAGTAATTTATCAATGAGGAATCCCGCGAGCATACAAGGCAGCCATTTTCATGTGCCTGCCACACCAAGAATAAATTATGTGTGTGCAGAAAAATTTAGTGAATTTGGTAAATCTACCCATAGAATGTTGGCGGCTCAATATGGGTAATACAGGGAGTAAATAAACAGGGTTATTCACCAAAGTCTTTCACTATAAAACTGATGTAGAGAAAATGGAAGAGTACCTGATTTGGAGAACTGTTCCAATTCAGTTAATCTGATTTTAAATTTTAAATTCATATTGAATTCACTTTGAATTCATGGCAATTCTCAAAAGTAATTTTCAAATTTTCATGCCAAAATAGCCAAACTGGAAAAATTCCCCAAGTCAGCTATGTTTTCAGTTCAGCTACTTTGGCGTGAAATAAGAAACTAATTTTGCATTTACAATTTTCCACGCTTTCGTTAATAATGATGTAAATATAATAATAATAATAATAGTTGTAGCAATGTTTAAGGTTTTTGGTGTGTTTGTCAGTAAATGTACAGCGAGTGTGTTTTTATTGAGACTTCACCCAAAACCCCAAACACCTCCGCGAGCCAGCTCTGCGGTTATGTTACCATTCTCTACACCGTGTGTTTTATTATGGGCTTCTACGAAAGATTGCCGTGCAGGACTTCCAAGCGTCTCTTGCCAGCCAAGCTGTAGTGTCTGGGAGATCCTCGCTGATAAGGATATCTGTTATGAATTATTAAGGCTTGCTTCTGGCTTTCTGCATTGAAGTGTTTCCTTTATCTTATAAGATAAAAAAATAAATAAATGATAAATACACCCACAAGCATATATACTGTTCTGAAGAAGATGTTTTCATTTAAAAAATATATTCAAGCCTTAATGAAGCAATCTGCTGCACATTTTACAAATATCCCTAGTATAGCTAAAACACAGAGAATTAGTCACACAGTCTAATCTATTTTCCAATCAGTTGCTTCTTTTATATGTATTAAAGCGGCACTGTCATCATCTGGGGACGTTGCAGAATTCCCAAAGACCACTGATGGTGACATAGCTGTTGGTGGTCCAGTTGCTGGGGGAGCAGGTAAAGGTGAGATTTACTTACCTGAACTGTCCCTCGCAGGTGCGGCCATCTTGTTCTGGCAGGTCATCTTCAGAAGCGCCAGGCGCCAACATCACTGTAATCTTGCGTGTGCATGAGAGTACAGGATCGAGGTCTATGGAGGATCCCAGAAGACCACAGGATCTGCCATAGACAGAGCCAATTCCCTACAGCCATTACTGGTGATGGCTGTGGGGAGTGACACTAAAACTGCACCCAGAGTCAGACGGAGGAAATACTTTGTCTCCCTAATTTGTCTCAGTATATCTCTTGACTGGGGTGGAATGTCAGTGAAATTCCAACACAGTCAAAATAAGCATTTCATAAAAATCCTATCTATATAAAATATTAATTTTTCAGGTGATGGTGCCTAAGCTGCCATGTCTAGTTCAAAAATCCCAGTGCTGTAACATGGCCGATCCTGGCCTATGTCCAAAGGCAGATTTATAAGTGAAGTTACTTGTTGCGGGTTATGACCAGATTCCACTATGTGGTCATTTAAACAGGTCTAGGCACTCAATTGTGAATTAAAAGTGAAATCAAAGTGAAATCACAATTTAGGGTAAATATAGCCAAGCCAAAAAATGCAGGAGATTTTTTTCTAATTTAACTATTTTTAGATATTTAGCCTGAATTTTAAATTCGCTTTGAATTAATTTCATGATAATTTGCATGTTATTAAATAAAACACATGCTTTATGAATAACAAGCAGAGGGGAGACCTGGGGGGGTTCTTACTTCATCAGGATAGGCGAAGAATTGTAAAGAGAATTGGCTACTTTAAATTTTGGTTTAAAGTCTTGAATCTTCTTTTTAATTCTCCACAATTTGTGGTGTATTGAATATATCTCACTGAAGCTCATAGAGGCAGGAGAAAGAAATTGCAATCAGTGATCACTAATCACCAATATCCTGTCCTCAGATCAGACACTCTGTAGAGTATAGAGCCAAAGACAGCATGAGTTACTTCCATTTCAGAAGGAGAATTGATTAATGGAAATTCATTTTTTATTTGGTCCTGATTGGCAGTGCTGACTGATTCAAACCAATGTTACCATATTGCAGAGCCAATTTCTCCCAGTTAATAATCTTGTTTTTTTTTATCACCTAATCAATCAATTACACTTAATGTCCTCAGCGGATGATGTACAGTTAATGATCATGGAGGTGAAGGCAAGTTTACTGGCTCCATGTTTAATTAAAGATGAAGTATCATTAAACTCCCACTGAACAAAATTCTGAGATAAATATCTCAACTGCAGTCTTGCTGTGATGTCTTCTAAGAATCGTAATATCTTAACAACATATAAGGGCACTCTAAGCATGCTCTACGCATCAACACAACTTAAGTACATTTGTAAGGTTTTAGTCTCAATTCATGGTGTATTTTTCTCCACATTCAAATCTGTTTAATTTTGCGTTAAAAAAAAACTAGAAAAAAAAAACTGGGTTTCTGCAGTATACTCCACCCCCTTGAGCCCCACCCCACCTTTCAACAAAGCAACTTCCTTATAAGATGTACTTGAGTGCATATGCCAGTCAACCAATAGGAAATCTGTCTGAGCAAAGTTTGCTTGACAAAGACCCTTTCAGGGGTCGAAATGTTGCGGTGTCTCACTTGTCCCAATAAACACATTTGAAAATACTTGGAGTATCTAGATCCTCTTTCTACTACTGAGCAAAGTTTGCTGACATAAATCTAACGAAAGCCAATCATCTGTGTCTTGAAATGTCTTTTCTAATTTCTAGATTATTTTTTTTTACTGTTTTTGCAATAACTCTTTTTGTTATCCATTTTTTAATGCACCTTTACATTCCCACAAACTCATGCTCCCCTTAGTTCACCTTCACAGACATTCCCTCTGTAAATCTTGTTCACTGTCCCATGTGCTCTCTTCACACATTCTCAGTGACTAATGAGTTCAATATTCTAGGCTCTAGCAGCTGTCAACCTACACCTCTTACCAAGTCATGTGAAGTCTAAGGTCAGAGGCCAAGTCTTCTCCTGCAGATTACTGAATGCCTTCACATTCTATAGCAGAGCGCGCATGTAAAATGTGCAACTTTAGCAAAAAAGCCAACAACAAACAAACAAACACACTGTATATATACATAAATATCATCATATGAGCTTGTTTGTTGAAAGACTGAAAGCTGTGCTGGCAACAATGCAGAGGCAAGCAGAAATGCAAATATTAACAAATGGATAATTGTTCGTAATAATTACCTTTCACAAGTACTTGTCATTTTTTAAAAAAGCCTTATATTCATTACTACATTAAAAGAAAAATAAATATATATATAGACTACATCCACCTTCCTACCCGTTCATTAATTTAACTTATATCAAGTGTAAAATGTTCTGTAATTAACTCCTAACCATGTCAATAATGCCTTAATCCCTTACCAAGCTACCGTCTCTATCTATATATCCTTTAAACACACCCATCAACTTCAAATTACCCTCTGCTACCTTGCGTTGCAACCTCCATTATCTTCTTCAGATTGTAACCTCGGTGGTCACCTTGCTAATTGCTGTGAATAGAAATGCTAGATTCTTTTTTAACTTCATACACAGTTTCCGCTACTCGTCTGACATCTGTATGTGCAATTACCTATTGTTCTGCGTGTGACAATGAATATGTATATAATTGCTATGAGGGTTATTTACGTAAGTGTAAATTGCGGGGAAATCACAGTTAATTTAAATTCACTTTGAATTCTTGTCAATTCAGCCTTTAATGAATAACTCTGTATGCAGGCATACATAATAAAACAATCAATGTTATATAAGAGGATGCTTTAATAGTTATTGCCAATGTGTGGCGCTATTTTAAAATCACTTAGGCACTAGTGGTCACAAGGGTTAGATGGAAGCTCTTAGAATATTGACTCACAGATCTCTTGCTGTTTATTTTCGTCTTGTTATACCCTGTCCTAATACTGCGTTGTTGTTTGTTTTCACTCCCCTTGATGTCACGTGTCCTACTGTGCATGTAGTGTCTTCTGACCTTCTTCTTTGACTCCTTGTGTTTAAAATTACTCTCAAGGCACTTGCACAGGTTACTGGCAATGTGCAAGTCGAGTATACTTATTCATTAAACTTGTGTACATTAAATGTACATGGATATAACGTATAAACATTTGCATTATGTTACATTGTCGGTCCGGGGCTCTGAGCTACAATTGCTATGAAATCTGCGGGTACTACTAGCAACCAACTTGATTAAGCACACGTCACAATTTTTGGGGATCACACAAAACTTGAATATGTAATTTTTTGCACACAAAAAAAAGTTGGATTTAGGATTTTTCACGCATCATAATTTCTGTTTTGTTCTAGATTGCTTTGTCTGTGAGAAAAATTAATTCTTATTCTGCGACCAACATAACTCACTGCCATTGTATTTGACCACGTAATTTGCGAGAATTCCGTCATTCCGTGATGTTCAGTTTAACATTTCTGTATGAAGCAGAGTCCACTCATTTTTCATGTAAAAGTCATGAACATACGCGCAGAAACTTTTTCACGGATTTTCCATGGAAATTGCACATAAAAAATGCACTCAATTTAAAAACCACACAAAATGCAAGTTATGCATTTACACATCTGATACAAAGTACAAGTTCTATGTTTTGTTTTTTGTTTTTTGCGATCAGTTCTAAATCTCTCGGACTTTACGTGTTTATATTAATAATATTCAAATGACTGTGAGTGTCCTTTTCATTTTACAAAACAGTTACATGAAGTTCCCTTAGTATTGCATGCCAATTTAATGCTGGCAGGAGTTTCCAATCTTTACAGTAATATGGGCTGGATTTGGGCCAGGTCTTTAACCCTTGCTGGTTTGGACAGGAATGAGTTCTTTGGATCATTGCACATATTGAAATCACATTGCTCCACTTGGCATTAAACTTGCTAGGTTAGCCAAGATGGTCACATGGTACAAATATTCTGCAAGGCATTTCTCTCGTTGCCACGGAATGGATTCAAGCATTAGTCGTCTGACTGATAATCGCTAAATAATACGTGTTTTTGTAATACCCAGGTAAGCATGTTAATTGCAGTACCCTGGGACAAATTCCGAGGGATAATATACTATGCTGTGATAAAATTATTGTTTTTTACTCAAATGATGAAACAACTACAGCTCAATGTAATGAAGCTCAGCTCTTCTGAAGTCAATAAAATATGTTATATTAACCTGGGTAACTATATCTAAATTACTCCATCATGGTTGATTGCCTCGATTTTAATATTTTCTCTAAAAACGCCAAATAAATCCATCATGGTAGATTGCCTCTATTTAATATTATCTCTAAAATTTGTCATTTTGAGATTGGTGTGTACATGCATTTAAGTGTACTTTGTTAACCAATCTAATTTGCTTGTGGAAAGCAGTCACAGGTAGAAAAATATATAAACCGTGTAGCACTGGCCTTGGAAAAGATAGCGTGACTGAGAAGCCTTGCTGGGCTTCCTCTCCAGGGTATGGGAAACACGCAAGATGAATGCCTGTTCTTTTTTAGAACAGAATAGAATGTGCTGTGCCTGGGCAGCACTTTTAGCAAACAGCATCCTGGGAAATGCGGATGGCACGTGCTCAGAGGAAAAGGCAAAGTATAGGACATAAATAAATGGATAGAAAATACTGAATATTGAATATGTAAACAGTATGTCGCGGTCATCAAAAAATGCATGAATGTGTAATGTATACACCAGCCACAAGGAACCTTAAAGAAGCGCTAGTCACCCAGACTACTTCATCTCAATGAAGTGGTCTGGGCTCAGTGGTCCTGTCATTTTTAACCTTCCATGAAAAACATTGCAATTCATAGAACACCACTCACATTTTTGTAAATATGTTATTATATCTTTTTATGTGACAACACTGAAGAAATGACACTCTGCTACAATGAAACGTAGTAAATGTACAGCCTGTATAACAGTGTAAATTTCCTGTCCCCTCAAAATAACTTAACACACAGCCATTAATGTCTAAAACATTGGCAACAATAGTAAGTACACCCCTAGGCGGAAATGGCCAAAATTGGACCCAAAGTGTCAATAGTTTGTGTGGCCACCATTATTTTCCAGCACTGCCTTAACCTTCATGGGCATGGAGTTCACCAAAGCTTCACAGGTTGCCACTGGAGTCCTCTTCGACTCCTCCATGACAACTTCACGGAGCTGGTGGATGTTAGAGACCTTGCGCTCTCCCACCTTCCATTTGAGGATGCCGCACAGATGCTCAATAGAGGAGACATGCTTGGCCAGGCCACCTTTACCCTCAGCTTCTTAACAAGGCAGTGGTCATCTTGGAGGTGTATTTTGGGTAATTTTTATGTTGGAATACTGCCCTGCAGCCCAGTCTCTAAAGGGAGAGGATCATGCTCTGCTTCAGTATGTCACAGAACATGTTGGCATTCATGGTTCCCTCGATGAACTGTAGCTCCCCAATGCCAGCAGCACTCATGCAGGCCCAAATCATAAGACACCCACCACCATGCTTGACTGTAGGCAAGACAGACTTGCCTTTGTACTCCTCAACTGGTTGCCGCCACACACGCTTGACACCATCTGAACCAAATAAGTTTATTTGGGTCTCATTGGACCACAGGACATGGTTTCAGTAATCCATGTCCTTAGTCTGCTTGTCTTCAGCAAACTGTTTGTGGGCTTTCTTGTGCATCATCTTTAGAAGAGGCCTCCTTCTGGGACGGCAGCCATGCAGACCAATTTGATGCAGTGTGCAGCATATGGTCTGAGCACTGACAGACTGACCCCCACCCCTTTAACCTCTGCAGCAATGCTGGCAGCACTCATATGTCTATTTCCCAAACACAACATCTGGATATGATGCTGAGCATGTGCACTCAACTTCTTTGGTCTACCATGGCGAGGCCCTTTTCTGAGTGGAACCTGTCATGTGAAACCGATATATATATGGTCTTGCCCACCGTGCTGCAGCTCAGTTTCAGGGTCTTGGTAATCTTCTTACAGCCTAGACCATCATTATGTAGAGCAACAATTATTTTTTTCAGATCCTCATAGAGTTCTTTGCCATGAGGTGTCATGTTGAACTTCCAGTGACCAGTATGAGAGTGTGAGAGTGATAACATCAAATTTAACACACCTGCCCCCCATTCACACCTGAGATCTTGTAACACTAAGGAGTCACATGACACCGGGGAGGGAAAATGGCTAATTGGGCCCAATTTGAACATTTCCACTTAGGGGTGCACACACTTTTGTTGGTTTCGACATTAATGGCTGTGTGTTGATTTATTTTGAGGGGGCAGCAAATTTACACTGTTATACAGGCTGTACACTTACTACTTTACATTGTAGCAGTGTTTCATTTCTTCAGTGTTGCCACATGAAAAGATATAATAAAATATTTACAAAAATGTGAGGGATCTACTCACTTTTGTGAGATACTGTATATATATATAATATATATAATATATATATAGTTATTATAGATATATGTATATGTGTGTAATCTTATTCTAAGTGTATTTTTATATTAATATATGTATATATTAATAAAAAAAATACACTTAATATGACATTATGCATATTAGATACATATATTGGGTTTTATATGTATTTACTAATATATTTATTTAAAATTTTTCAGCAGCAGGGAGACTGCCTGACAGCACAGGCAGTTCCCCTGCAGGCAGATACATGGACGCATTTTGTAGTCATGTGACCCCTCTTTCAGAGTGATCACATGGCCTGCGGGGGCCTAACTTGCCAAGCAAGGACTGTCTGGACTGTTAGAAAGTCCCTCTAGACCAGGAGGAATGCCAATCGCCGGCAGGGATCGGGTAAGTGGGATGGACGGCTGGGACGCTCTATGCCGCCCATCAGCGTTTAGGCTCGGCTCCTTAAGGGGTTAAAACGTTTACTTTGATGTTGTGTATTGACTGTTCACTTGCTGCCCTCGACAGGTTCAGTGCATTTATATATTTATATTACCTTTTCAGCACTCTGTGTGGTATTTTTGTGTACTTCTACTTCTTCGGTCCTGTACCAGAGGCCTAGGAGTCTACGCAGTATCTTATCTGTTCCTAGAACTGCACTCTTCTGTACAGCGATCTCAGATGTCCCACCTGGAATCTGTTGAAGCCACTCCACCAACTTGGAGTTCACAGCTCCGAGAGCTCCTATCACAACTGGGACTACTACTGCCTTCACTTTCTATGTCCTTTCTAGCTCCTCTTTCAGTCCTTGGTATTTGTCCACCATCTCATGTTCCTTCTTCCTGATGTTATTATAATATATAAATATATGTATACAGCATGTACAGAGATTGAATTGTAAAATGGTTCATGGTAAGAAATGACTTTTTGCGTATTAAAGAATACAATATACAATACATAAATCAAAGTGTACCACTATTGTGCAGTAAGTATAATGGAAGAGGGAAAAAAAACATAATCATATTGAAACCTTCATATATTTGACCGTATTGATAAAACCCGTGATACTAATATCTCGAGATTCCCTAGGGTAAGAGCTTGGGGTGATTGAACTACAGATTCATTTTAAGAGACACAATGTTAGGGTTAGGTGTGCTGCGGATTTGACTTCAGGGAGGAACCTAGTACAATAGCAGTAAATTCGTTTTTTTTTTTATCTCTTTCTGCGGTTTTTGGTTTATTTGTTAGATTTCTGATGCTTGGCACACTCTGCATGGATCATTTGAACAAATAAGCTTTGGGGCATGAAAGTATTCTCTTTAGGGAGTACGCTCTACCTGCTATTGCTGTTCTAATAAACTGAGTAAAAAGAAAAGCATGTGCAGGTTTGAGATTGTAGGAAGTGGGAATGATGGGATTGCAGAGGGGAGATGGGTTCCTTGATTTACAACACATAAGAGATATTGTCAGCAAAAATAGCTCAGTTTTTTGTTCCCAGAGAGACCGGCGATGCAGAGGGAGTATGGAACCTCGGTTAGATGAAGAGTTATCATTTATTGTAGAATGGTAGAAGACCAGTTTGCTTTTGAAAAATTGCAGAAGCCTTGCAATAACTTGGGGTTAGCCTTTGTTAATATGTGTCAAATTATGAGGGCATCTCTTAACCACAGAGGTTGTACATGGTACAGTAATCTCCGCAGCTGTGTAAGCTCGCTCCATCAGATTTCTGCTTCATAAAGTAATTTAGCCCAGGTTCTGCCTGAATTGTTCAGAGGTTATTTCAAAGGCAAAACTGAAACTAAAAATGTTTTTTTTTCTGCTTTTTCAGCTAAATTCTTTAATTTATATTTCAATGTATGTGTAATGTCCAAAAAAAAAAAAAACAAATTAGGAAAAAAAGTTTAAAAGCATCTCATAAACAATGCTTTGATATTGTATGGCCTTCAGAAATGCATGTCACTAGCTGCAATTAAAGAATTGTGGGATATTTAAAATTTGCATTTGGTGCCAGGCTGTGCCCGGTCAGCGTGGCTTTTGCTAAAAATCTATATGATATAATATAATTTTGATAGGTAATTTTCAGTTGATGATAGGTCATTTTAATCCATGACTTCCAAAAGACGTTATTTACAAATCAGAAGTTGTCACGCAGAGTTTCCATGGCCACAGTTGGGAACCAAACAAGCCATGCTCTACAAGTTTCAGCAATGCCAAATTTTGAAAAATCATTTTCCATTAGACTTCAGTATTCCATTTCAAAAGAATTGCGCTCCATCCAATTTTGAGCGAACGGTTCATCCAAATAACAAAAGAAAGGGTGCACCTTTAATGTAAAAAATATATAGAAAATGTACACATAAAATAGTTAAGTAACTAAAACCAGTCCAGGGTAATAGTCCACAAATAAGGAAAATTCTTGTAGAGCAGCAGTGATTCTTTTAGCGCTGATCCTATTTTGACTTTTCTTGGTTCATCGAAATGATGTAACTCTTAATCGTCATGTAACCAAATCATGAAAGAAACAACGTGTTGACTGAACAGGCCATTTAGGTTTTTTTTTTGCGGTGCCAAAAACAAAAGACAATTGATGGTTAGGGCACAGCCACTAAATGTGGATTTTATTCACAGATCAATTAAGAAGTGACCACTAGTGGGAATATATATAAAAGCATAGATTATTTTCAGAAAAATTGTCTTGGACGAACCAAAGTTTCATTTCCATTATCCGATCCTCCCAAAAAAAACATCTGGTTGTATCCAGTTTCCCATCCGGTACTTCTAAAACTTCTAAAATGTTAAGCGATCTTTCATATTAAACGTGTATGCAATATTGAGTTAGGGTCATTGATTGATGGTCCTGCTGACCAGCCTTTGAACTTGCGAGTCCAGTTCAAAGTCTCAACTGTATAATATACATAATGCCAGATCACACATCTGTAAATAGCTTTATTGTATATGTTTTCATTGTAATGATTTTTTGTAATATTTCTTAATTGCATGTCTCATTGAGATATTTCGGTTATTTTGGCTATTTGTATTAAATTAATAAATTTATTGATGTATCCCCTTGGTCAATTCCTGTCTAGTAGAACATGTTAAAGTATGAACTTAAAATTCCTCATTTACGTTTTTTACTGGGTTATTCATGAAAATTGAAATTGTCCGGAATTCAAAGTGAATTTTACATTTTAGGGAAAAATAGCCAAATCAGAGTAATCTTCCAAGTCCGATATGTTTTAGTTTTGCTAAAATGAGACAATCACTTTGAATTTAATATAAAGTTCCACCAATTCATGTTTTATCGATTAACCCTTCGAATCTCCTTTTTCTCTATGTGGTAGAATTCACCGACATCCCTTTTTCACTCAAAGATATACTCTGCTCAGAAAAATAAAGGGAACACTTAAACAACACAATGTGACTCCAAGTCAATCACACTTCTGTGAAACCAAACTGTCCACTTAGGAAGCAACACTGAGTGACAATCAATTTCACATGCTGTTGTGCAAATGAGATAGACAACAGGTGGAAATTATAGGCAATTAGCAAGACACCCCCAATAAATGAGTGGTTCTGCAGGTGGTGACGACAGACCACTTCTCAGTTCCTATGCTTCCTGGCTGATGTTTTGGTCACTTTTGAATGCTAGTGGTGCGTTCACTCTAGTGGTAACATGAGACGGAGTCTACAACCCACACAAGTGGCTCAGGTAGTGCAGCTCATTCAGGATGGCACATCAATCCGAGCTGTGGCAAGAAGGTTTGCTGTGTCTGTCAGCGTAGTGTCCAGAGCATGGAGGCGCTACCAGGAGATAGGCCAGTATATCAGGAGACGTGGACGAGGCCGTAGGAGGGCAACAACCCAGCAGCAGGACCGCTTCCTCCGCCTTTGTGCAAGGAGGAACAGGAGGAGCACTGTCAGAGCCCTGCAAAATGACCTCCAGCAGGCCACAAATGGGCATGTGTCTGCTCAAACAGTCAGAAACAGACTCCATGAGGGTGGTGTGAGGGCCCGACGTCCACAGGTGGGGGTTGTGCTTACAGCCCAACACCGTGCAGGACGTTTGGCATTTGCCAGAGAACACCAAGATTGTCAAATTTGCCACTGGCGCCCCTGTGCTCTTCACAAATGAAAGCAGGTTCACACTGAGCACGTGACAGACGTGACAGAGTCTGTAGACGCAGTGGACAACGTTCTGCTGCCTGCAACATCCTCCAGCATGACCAGTTTGGCAGTGGGTCAGTAATGGGGAGCCCTCCATGTGCTCGCCAGAGGTAGCCTGACTGCCATTAGGTACCGAGATGAGATCCTCAGACCCCTTGTAAGACCATATGCTGGTGCGGTTGGCCCTGCAAAATGACCTCCAGCAGGCCACAAATGGGCATGCGTCTGCTCAAACAGTCAGAAACAGACTCCATGAGGGTGGTGTGAGGGCCCGACGTCCACAGGTGGGGGTTGTGCTTACAGCCCAACACCGTGCAGGACGTTTGGCATTTGCCAGAGAACACCAAGGTTGTCAAATTTGCCACTGGTGCCCCTGTGCTCTTCACAGATGAAAGCAGGTTCACACTGAGCACGTGACAGACGTGACAGAGTCTGTAGACGCAGTGGACAACGTTCTGCTGCCTGCAACATCCTCCAGCATGACCAGTTTGGCAGTGGGTCAGTAATGGGGAGCCCTCCATGTGCTCGCCAGAGGTAGCCTGACTGCCATTAGGTACCGAGATGAGATCCTCAGACCCCTTGTGAGACCATATGCTGGTGCGGTTGGCCCTGGGTTCCTCCTAGTGCAAGACAATGCTAGACCTCATATGGCTGGAGTGTGTCAGCAGTTCCTGCAAGACGAAGGCATTGATGCTATGGACTGGCCCGCCCGTTCCCCAGACCTGAATCCAATTGAGCACATCTGGGACATCATGTCTCGCTCCATCCACCAATGTCACATTACACCACAGACTGTCCAGGAGTTGGCAGATGCTTTAGTCCAGGTCTGGGAGGAGATCCCTCAGGAGACCATCCGCCACCTCATCAGGAGCATGCACAGGTGTTGTAGGGAGGTCATACAGCCACGTGGAGGCCACCCACACTACTGAGCCTCATTTTGACTTGTTTTAAGGACATTACATCAAAGTTGGATCACCCTGTAGTGTGTTTTTCCACTTTAATTTTGAGTGTAACTCCAAATCCAGACCTCCATGGGTTGAAAAATTTGATTTCCATTTTTTTATTTTTGTGTCATTTTGTTGTCAGCACATTCAACTATGTAAAGAACAAAATATTTCAGAAGAATATTTAATTCATTTAGATCTAGGATGTGTTATTTTTGTGTTCCCTTTATTTTTTTGAGCAGTGTACTTTGCTATCATTTTGTTTTAATCAGGGAATCTTATAAAAATTTTGCAGAGTTTAATTCATGAAAAATGGACTGTCAACATTTTGTCAAAAACAGCCATTAAAAAATGTGATACTGTATTGAGGCTGCTAAGCCATTCAGCTAAGCTTCATGATAGTCTGTAGCTCTGAATCTGTATGATGCAGTTACATTGAGTACGGTTGGTCCTGGTGGCTGACTATGGGAGCTCTGATGAATCTCAATGCAGAACGTGGCTGCCTATGGGGGATATTGAGACACAGATTTGTGCTTTTCATGGTAGTTCAGAGAAAAATCTGCAAGGTGCTTGCAAATTTCAGCTCGGATCGAGAGGCACAAACAGTATATCATAGAATGTAGCCACCTCTGTATAATAATTCAGCTGTGCCATATTGCAAACGAACATGTGATAGATTAACCCTTTCAGAGACAGAGTGATGTGGAGAATATTGTCCCTTCCATACTGAAAGATAAAAGAGAGTTCTAAATTAACCTCTTCACTACCATGTATGTTTCAAAATAAACAACTGAGGTTTTAAGGTGTCATTTTATGAAAATCTCACTCAAAAAAAGCTATTTGTTTAACATCTGTACGAGACATGTACACGTATACATAAAAAAATCCACAATATTACAGCACAACATTGTCTTGTGCAGCCAATATAGCCAAATTGTAAAACAGTTAAATTGGATGAATTGGGTTCTAATGCCGTCATTTTAGTCTACAATGTGCCATTCATTTTTCAGGGATCTGCTTCCTGACCGCCTCTGATTTAGAAAGCGTCTGAATGAATTATATAGATCCAAAACTAGAATATTTAAGATATACAATACATATATACAAAAAACTGCAGCAAATACAAGAATAACCCTGTTCAACTGTGTTTGTAAGGAATCTGCAACTATATTGGGGAATTCAGATTCACAAACTGCCAGCACAATAAATAACACTTGGATAAATGTATCTGGGCTACATACATTAAATAAAGTAAAATGTATTCAATTAAAGGAATCTGTCTCAAACTGTCTCAAACTGAGCTCCAGCCTGCTATAGCACACTGCATACATCCCCCGGTGCCTCCATCGCAGCCTGTTCTCTCCAATTTGCAATGCTGCTGCTTTGGCACAGGACATGATCTTTACAGTCTCCTGTAGAGTACAGAAGAATATAACATCCTATTCAGTCTTTCTACCCCAGAGAGACATCTTAATTGAGCAATGTATAGCAGGAGGGGGAGCAGTTTTAATGTTTTTTGTTAACATAATGATTTCAAGTACAAAATCAACCCTCTGTGTATCCAGGATTGAGTTTAACCTTATGTATTCAAATGTATTAGCAAAAAAAATGTATAATCAAAGGATGGCTAACCTGAAAGTATATGTGACATATTCTTCTTTTATTCCTAAATATGTACATGTTGCAAGTCTAACATCCTAATTATTTTATGGGGGTTTTTTTTGTTTGTTTTTTATTCAAACAAGCATCAAACAGTAACAGGCATCAGGGAAACATTAAAAAGTAATTAAAAAAAGAATTTACCATACTTTGTAAGAAGCATATGAAATTGTGTGTTTATGCAGTTGCTTCTCAACAGTCTGACTGGCTAAAACCAATATATTTGATCTTCACAAAATTGGGGGTGCTATTAATCCCCATCGTAAAAGAAAAACTGCATTTGCCGCATGTTGAGCTCAGTAATTTATTTGAGTTAGTGAATTACAATCCAGTGTCCTTAGACATGACGCGTTTCGCTCTTATGATACACTTGTAAGTATAAGTGAAGTGGTAACGTGTAGTTAAATTAGCACACAAAATCTTCAGAAATGCTCACAAAATACAATGTATTGAATGTGAAACATTCTTAACCACCAGCCACAGAATAAAAAAGGGAAGTGGTTCATAAACATCAAAAGACAGAGAGGTTGATTAAATTATACGCTTTAAGGCAAGATCATTTTTTTTTTTTTTTTAAATTGAGTCTGATTTCTGTTTTTAAAATATTATTTTCTGCTCTGGTTAATTGTACTGAAGAGGAAGAAAGACACCACACACTAAGTAAAACATATTTTACAAAAAAACATTTTTTTTGTATTATTTATTGGTCTCCGAGGAAGTGCCACTAAGGCATGAAATGCGTAAGCATCTTTCCGATGTCCCCAGATGTCATGTTGTCAGCTTGCTTATTTTTACTATGATGGAACACGTTTCTGTATTTGTACCTGAGCTGGTTGAGTTTCAAGGGTTCAAGGATAAGGTGTTTTGTTATTTTTTTAATTACATTAAATACTTGAGAAATACTTATTGTGATATTTGGGACCAATGCAAACCATTGTCTGGAAATCTATTCATAAACAGGTCTATGCACAGGACACAAGGTCACTCATTTAGACTTCAAGAAATGAGATTTACTCTTAAGCAAAGGAAAGGGTTTTTTACAGTGAGAACAATAAGGATGTGGAATTCTCTACCTGAAGAGATGGTTCTATCAGAGTCTGTATAGACATTAAAACAGCAACTGGATAAACACATGCAAAAATACAATATTCAGGGATATCATTTTAATAGTTGAGATCCAAGGAGAGATTCGACTTCCATTCAGGGTTTGAGAAATACATTTTCCTAGTTTGTTGCAAATCTGGAAAACATTTCGAACTGGGTTTTTTGGTTTTTTTTTGCTTTCCTTTGGATCAACAGCAAAAACAGATGTGAGAAAGACTGGGCTTGATGAACGCAAGTAATGTGTTTTCTGCACACATTGTATGTGTATGTGTTTCCTTCAGTGTTGCAGTCAAGAGGTGCCCTTAGCACTCTCATCTGTAGTACTTAAAGGACCAATTTGCATTTTGTTAGCAATGGTGCACCTGTGTAATGAGGGTGTTGGGCGGTGTTTGTAATTACCTTTTATAGTTACATAGTTACATAGCTGAAAAGAGACTTGCGTCCATCAAGTTCAGCCTTCCTCGCATACGTTTTTGCTGTTGATCCAAAAGAAGGCAAAAAAACCCAGTCTGAAGTGTTTCCAATTTTGCAACAAACTAGGAAAAAATTCCTTCTTGACCCCAAAATAGCAGTCAGATGTCTCTTTGGATCAAGCAGTTATTATCCCACTAATTAGAAATTATATCCCTGTATGTTATGTTTTTGGAAGTATTTACCCAATTGCAGTTTAAACATCTATATGGACTCTGATAAAACCACCTCTTCAGGCAGAGAATTCCATATCCTTATTACTCTTACTGTAAAAAAAAACGTTTCTTTGCCTTAGATGAAATCTACTTTCTTCCAGACTAAATGGTGACCTTGTGTCCTACGTATAGCCCTGTTTATGAATAGATTTCCAGACAATGGTTTGCATATATTCATATAATGTTATCATATCCCCTCTGAGGCACTGTTTTTCCAAACTAAAGAGATTTCTATTTTTTAACCTTTCTTCGTTAACTAAAATGCTCCATTCCTTTTATCAATTTTGTAACTCGTCTGTACTTTTTCTAGTACCATGATATCCTTCTTTAGAACAGGTGCCCAAAGTGGCACAGCATATTCAAGGTGTGGTCTTAGCAGCGATTTATAAAGAGGCAAAATTATATTTTCATCCCGAGGATTTATGCCCCTATTTATACATGACAAAACCTTACTGGCTTTAGCAACTGCAGATTGACATTGCATATTGCTGCCTAATTTGTTGTCTATAACAATTCCCAACTCCTTCTCGTTTGTGGTTATCCCTAATTCACTACCATTTAGGGTGTAAGTTGCTTGTGCATTCTTGACCCTGAAGTGCATATCTTTGCATTTCTCTACATTAAATTTCAAGTGCCCAGTCCCCCAATCTATCCAAATCCCTCTACAGCAAAGCAATATCCTGCTCACATTTTATTACTTTACAAAGTTTTGTGTCATCTGCAAAGACTGAAACATGGCTTTCAATGCCTATTTAAAGATCATTTATAAATATGTTAAATAGAAGCGGTCCCAAAATAGAACCCTGAGGGACATCACTTACCACTTTTGTCCAGGCTGAACATTTACCATTAATGACACCTTGTTTTACTCTATCCTTAAGCCAATGTTCTACCCAAGAACAAGAATATTCATCTAGACCAATTTCTTTTAGTTTGAAGACTAACCTATTGTGAGGAACTGTATCAAATGCCTTGGCAAAATCCAAGTAGATCACATCCACTGCAACACCCTGATCTATACTTCTACTTACTTCTTCGTAGAATGCAATTAGGTTAGTTTGACATGACCTATGTTTCATAAAACCATGTTGATTATTGCTAATAACAAAGTTCTTCCCAATGAATTCCTGAATATTATCCCTTAATAGCCCTTCAAATATTTTCCCAGTCACAGAAGTTAAGCTCACAGATCTATAATTTCCAGGCAAGGATTTTAAACCCTTTTTAAATATAGGAACAACATCTGCCTTCCTCCAATCCTCCGGTACAATAACTGAAACAAAATAATTTTGAAAAATGAAATACAGAGGTTCACTTATTTCCCCACTTAGCTCCTTCAGTACTCATGGGTGAATACCGTCAGGCCACGGAGCTTTATTTACATTAATTTTCTTTAACTGCTGTAGCACCTTGTCTCGAGTCATCCAATCACAAGTTATCTGCAAGTTTTTTGCAGCAATCATTTGCATATCTCTTGCCATAGGATCCTCATTAATATATACTGAAGAAAAATTGTTGTTTAAAATGTCTGCCTTTTCCTGGTTTTCATTAGCTAACAGACCCATCTCGGTTTCCAGTGTTCCTACACTTTCATTTTTTGTTTTTTCAGAATTGATGTACTTGAAAAAATTTTGGGGTTGGTTTTGCATTCTTTGGCTAGCAATTTCTCATTTTCTAGGTTTGCCACTTTAATTGCCTTTTTCGCAAGCATTATTCGTTTCCTTATAACTTATATAGGATGCCTCTGATTTGTCCGATTTAAATGCTTTAAATGCCCTTTTCTTATTTTTAATCTCTTGTTTTACTTCTCTACAAAGTCACATTGGTTTCATTTTTTTTTTTTTATATTTATAACCCAATGGTACATACTGAGAAATATACCTTTCTAATATTTGTTTGAATAGTTTCCATTTATCCTCAGTGTTTTTTTCACTAAGGGGTTGATATGTTGCAGAGCTGCCCTAATCTTATTGAAATTGTTTTTTTTAAATTATACATTTTAGTATACCCCACGTGCTTTTGCTTTTTTGAGTTTATTTAAAAAAATGACCATATTGATATTGGCTCTAGAGATGTTGATGTTGGCAGAGCCGCACATCATCAGCATCATCAGCAAAAAAGGCTATTGCCACGTGGTAATTCTTACTGTAATATCTGATGCATTTCGCCCGTTAATATGGGAATGATATAATGGACACAGTGGACGCCAAAAAGTAACAGCTATTAATAAAAAATAAAAATAAATAGCTGTATATCATAATACCAACACAAAATAAAGCACCGTGCTTACAGCAGCAGTGGCTAAGTATCTAACAGTTCAAAATACATAGTAAAAACAAAGAGAAAGCTCCCTGCGCTCTGACCCAAATCCCTATGTACATTTAAACAAAATGGAGGCTCTTTAGTTTCATTCCAACAGCCATTTGAATTTAAGCTCACCTGCCACGTTTATAAAATACCCCTTCCTGTCTTATTGGAGATTCTTGGCTGATATCAGCATATCTAATGGCTAGTGTAGGACTCACCTTTTGAGGCTTGCCTTGACGTGGCAGGTGAGCTTATATTCAAATGGCCATTGGAATAAAACTAAAGAGCCTCCATTTTGTTTAAATGTACATGGGGATTTAGGCCAGAGCGCAGATAACGTTCTCTTTGTTTGTAGCATGTATATCATAATACTGACAATAAAATATTCTAAAACCTGCACATTTTCCAATTGATAAACCATCAGGGTGAATCGAACACATTATGTACAACATTTAGGATAATTTGTAAGACAGAGAAAAAAATCTTTCTAATTAAACTTACGCTTTGAGATTTATTTATTTTTAATTCACCACAATTGGCTGTTTAGTGAATAGTCACCCCAGGATGTTATGTGAGCTACATCCAGTGTGAATAATGACTAAATAGCTCAGCACGTCCAGGTCATTTTAAAATTAATGAAAATTTCAGGGATTTACCACCCTCTAGTGCCCCAGCCTCTCTGCTCCTCCGTTTAATACTCTGCATAATGATGCAAGCACAGAGGACAGACCATAGAGGAGGACAACCTCTTTATTATAACAAAAAGCAAACAATCAAACAAAGCCATTAAATCTCATTACAGATTATCTTCATTGCCTAAAGTGTCCTAAATGGATTACATGCTTCTGCAGCTGTAGCCGGGAGTAGATACAGTATGTTTGCATGGGAGAGAGAAAATTGACGGGAAATGCTTCTGCCTACATGTGCTGGAAATCTAATTGTCACGAGCAATGTGGGCCCTCTTCTCTGGGTGTTTGTTTCTGTACATTATCTTGTGAGCGCATCCTTTGGGAAGTGTGACACAGATATAGGGGTTTACAACAGATTCAGGCGATGAAATGTATTATCGGATTCACTGCAGGAAACAACCATGATTTCTTTTTTTTTTTAACCACTTGTAAAATTTAAAATATTCCAAGGAAAAACTTATTTCTACATGAACATATAGAATATCAAGATTTTTAAAAAAAATAAAATAGAAAAAAAAATAAGCTGCAGACTAAATTAAATGTAAAAAAACAAAAACATTTTATTCGTATACTTTTCAAACCAGAAATTAAAAATATGGTGAAAATAAAAGATATGATCACAAATGTGCTTTTCAAAGCTCCTCGTAAAAAGAAAAGAAAAATATTTTTTTTTATCCATAGCTCTTATCCAACATTCCTTCTGAACAGTTATTGGGTGGTCCTGCACTAATTTAGATAAGATCAGGTGGAGACGCATTGTCTATCTTTTTGTTCCTGTGCAAATTGTATTATGAGGCTGTTATAAAGATTATTCCTAAACTGTTTGCTTACATAAACATGCTTAGAGATGACATTGCTTGCGGCTTCTTTGACTTTTATTCCCACCACCTGTTCATGCTTTACTTCCTCTGCTACTGTCTCTTCAAGGTCTTCTATCTTTGTGATGTCTCTGTCCCTTGGGGAATTTCTCGACTCTTCTCTTCCAAGCCTCTGCTTCTATTTCTCTCACCTTTTCCTCTTGTTTGCCATCCCAAAACTGCTCGTTGTCACAGTTTTATATTTCAAATATTATTATCTGTCCAAAAAGACCAGAATCTAGTAATTTCTCACCAAATTTGTCTATCGAACATATAAGTACACAATAAACATTATGTATTGCTGGTGTACTGAAGCAAATATAATGACAGCGTGATCTGTGTTTAGTCCTCCACAACTAGTGGTTGACTTCCTCCCCCATAAATACAACTGCACGACGGCGTTGTGAAGGATGAAATTTAATGTAAGCATGTTCGAAATTCACTTATGTGAACTAACACATAATCTTCAAGACAGCTTGCACTGATTACTAGCCTTGAACACTCAACACACCATATACCGAGATTTGAAAGACACAGTAGGTCCAGTAGATGGTATCTCACATCAAAGTATCTATGCCCATTTTATTTGCAACACCTCCCATGCACAGTAATGCCAATTGTAAAGCACTGAACGCATCTGTTGGCATTCTATAAATAAAGACACACATGTGAATATATAATTATATAAGTATTTGCAGAATTGGTCCCATAGGTATAACGTGATATTATATAGTCCTCATGACTTGTCATGAGATATCAATCAGTTGATGAATATTCCCATTGGGATTAACCTGATTAAGGAAGCTGTGATACATTCTGCTACAGAAGGGTCAAAATCTAATTCTTGATTTGCAACTGAAATAAGTCCCTGAAGGTCATGAAATCTAACCTCGGTGGACTTACTATATTGTTGTATTGATCGTCACCTGCATGCAAGAACATAATGAAACACCTTCATTTAACTTAACTAAGCAATTCTGTCACTGAAATGGGCTCATTATGATACTCGTGAATAAGTATTTTTTATCACTATGGTCATTGCATCCTAAATAGAAGTTTATTGGCATAATGAAGCATTTATAATCTAATTTTGTTGCCTTGGGCACCCAGGAATAATGGGACCAGCAATGAGTCGATTCTTTTCAGAATAAAAACAAGAAGAAGAAAAAAGAATCACCGGGCCCTTTCTAAATGAGGAAGAAAAGTGTCTTAATGACCTGACGGATTCTCTGTAGCATGTGTATATCAAATGAGGCATCAGCCAGTATAAAATGCCAGATGAAGCACAAGTGAGAAATGGAATGTTCTATTGAGGGAAAGAAAGTGTCGTGTGTGGAATGATTATAATGAATGCAAGGAATATGCAATTTCTTTTTGCAATTATATCTTCATGCAAAGATCTACAGGTGTTAAAAAAAACAAGAAAAAATGAAAAAAGAAAACTCTAATTCGATAACATGGATTTGCGTAGGATGTTATTTAGTGTATGATATTTCAGCACCTCGGATAGCGACCCGGCTGACTTAGTTGGCTTCTCTTGTGTTATTCTCAGGGGCACTCATTGGAACGGGGAAGCAATAGAATACATTTTAATTGAAGGATTTTCGGCAAGTAAATGATAAAGTAGAAGAAAGGATTTGGGCTAAGGACAGTAGGGTTCAATATTCCCTAGAAAAGCTGACCTTCATTTCACACTGAGCCTGATAAATGATACCAGTACTTTCTTAAGAGCTCTTCTTTTATCCTGCTGTGCGTATCCCATCCCTTAGCGCTAAGAAAGAGACTTTGGATTGAGTGTTCCTTTTATCTGAGTTTTAAGGGATGATGCTTTGTATGAGTTAATGGGAGCAGGGGATGGGCTTGCTCGTTAATGGAGTGGCCTGCCATTGCATCTCAGAATTAATAGTGGAGAGGAGATGGCATAGAACTGGAAATGGATTTGACTCTAATATCTTCTTTTTAGAGCGATCCTTCAACTGAACCTAAACTCTAAAGCAATGCAAGCTATTTATCTGTTTAGTAAATTTATCGGGGGCTGCTGGTTTACCATGTTTTGTGTATAGTTTGATTGAGATATTCTACATCTTTCATATATTTAGCAGAAAGCTGATCTCTCCAGGTAATTTTAGTAGTCTACACTCCTTCTGAATTTCAACAATTACTGCGTGGAAATTTTTTCTTCCAAAAACTGATGAGAAAATACTGTAGCAATTGATGTCATACAGCTAGCCCTGGATTCTGATACTATAATTAAATATATTGATTCTGATTGAAATACTCCATATGACAAAATGCTCATACAATCATCCCATCTCTTAAAATGTCTTTTTTTTTGGTTTAGGCAATCTCATCTCTTGAATTTCCTACCCTAGTTTATTTTGCACTTGATATTGATTAATGACTCTAAAATGTAATTGGTTTTGTTCCATCACCTTATCTTATTTTGGAGTCCCTAGTTTTAAGACACTAATTCTGTATCTTAAAGAAATGCTATAGTGTCAGGAAGAAACATTGATTGTACTGAAAAGCTATTTTACTTACCTTTTTTTACCAATACGCGCAGGCCTCACCGCAGCTGGCTCTGCTAGGCTCCGATTTCATGTCTGAGCCCATGATGCTTTCCCATATGAAGGAATTGGGAGGCTGTTGCATGTGTGCGGCAAAACACTTCACTACGCCAATCAGCATCTCGTCAAAGAAATGAAATGAATCAATGCATCTTTATGGGGAACGGTCAGTGCCTCCATGCAGAAAATGGAGATGCTGAATTTAGGTGCTGCACACATGCAACAGCCTTTGAATTTAGGTGCTGCAGCAGTGACAAAGGAAGCACCTCTAGTGGCTGTCTGGGTGACTGCCACTAAAGGTGTAAGTAGCCAGCAATGTAAATACTGCCTTTTCCAAAAAAAAAAAAAAAGGCAGTGTTCACATTTAAAAGCTTGCAGGGACTGGCTACAGACACCAGAACCACTACATTAAGCTACAGTGAGTCTGGTGACTGTAGAGTCCCTTTAAACTGTGATGGAAATGAAACCACCATAAACTGGTGAATCAGTCAGCTCTTATAAAGGGCCAATTATTGTATTTTAACTCAATTATAGTTGAGGCTGCCATTATTGTACAATAATTCCTATAGACAGTGCGGTTCTATTATCTCATTAGCAGCTTAATGCAATACATGTTTTCTTGGTGTGAAAAAAAAGCAGGATTCTTTGTTCGTTACTTTCTTTAGATCACTGGCATTATCTATATCGTTGGGGGTAGCAGGTCCACTATATTATCTTTGTAAATAGAAAAAAGAAAAGAAAAGAAAGCTATTTAGTATCTCAATAGATGGTAGGTTTTGGTCATTTCACTGAAGGTTACTGATGAACAGAACAATTGTTTGTCGAAAGGCCAAGATCTTTCAGCTAGATTAGCATGTTGGAGTGATGGCGTCAAAGTAATCTCTGTAAAGAATATACTGACAGATTTATCATACGGTGTAGACATAGCTTAAGTCAGTATGATGAAGAAAAAGCAGGAGCCGGGGGGAAGCTATCTCTATTCTCATATTTCCGTTGATTGTAATCTACTCTTTTGATTTGCATACTCTTCCTCTACTGTGCACAAAACGGATCTAATACAGTCATGAAATGAGATGTAATTTGCAATAGTGATTTCTATATGATTGCATAATTACAAGGGTGGAGGACACAAGTCAATCAACATCGGATCGCTCTTGTAATGTGCAACTCAAAGAGAATGAAATGCAGAAAAAAATGCTCTGCTTTTTCTGTGAATTGCCTTTAACTCCATAAACATGATTGGAGCACTTATTGTGCTAGAAAATACATATAATGTTTTGATCAGAAAACTTTTGTTGATATCGTTATCACTAGAGTTATGTTCAGCGTCTGTGCCAGTGACTGCGCACACAAGCTTATAGACTTATCAAGAATGCTACTGTTTTATTTTCTTACTTATAGAGTGCCAACATATACTGCAATGCTGTACAACGGGTACATTAAAAAAAGTCACGTGGCAAATTATGACAGAGAAATGTATTCAAATGGTAACAAAAGGTGAGAAAGGTACTGCTCACAAGAGCTTACAATCTACAAGATGTTGGATATAATCACACATAATGTATGCAAAGCATCCAGAAGGGCAGATAGAATACTAGAATACCAGATGTCCATTCTGTATCTAACTTATCATATTAATATACGTTATAAGATTTGCATTGTAACAGTTGTGTAATAAGATAAAGCAGGATGTAGACGCAGATCCTGTGATAGTAGAAGTCTTACATACAACAGATTTAACAAATTTAAATCTTGTACATTAAACAAATATATTTGAGGCCAAAACAAAACTTTGTATGGAAATCTGTTCATAAACAGGACTATACATAGGACAAGAGGTCGCACATTTAGACTGGAAGAAGGGAGATTTAGTCAGGAGCAAAGGAAAGGGTTTTTCAGTAAGAACAATAAGGAGATGGAAATCTCTGCCTGAAGAGGTGGTTTTATCAGACCATATACAGATGGTTAAACAGCAATTGGATAAATACTTGCAAATATATATATATATTCAAGGATATATATTTTTTAATTTGTGGGGTAGTAGCTTCATGATCAAAGGAGATATCTGACTGCCATTCATGGATCAAGAAGGAATTTCTTTTCTAGTTTGTTGCAAAATTAGAAGTGCTTGAAACGTTTTTTTGCCTTCTTTTGGATCAACAGCAAAAACAGACACATTTCTCATTTCAGCTGTGGATGTGTGTAATTGTGGACTGCTGTAGGAAATGGTATATTATTGTAAGTTGATAAGTATCCATAAGGAAGTGTTTTTTGGGGACTTTTAAAAGTATTGGAAATGAGGTACAATCTGATGCGGTGACGTTAGGCATTCCATAGGCATGGGGCAGATATAACAAGTCACAATGGCCGTCTGGTGTGGAAAAGGGAACAAAAAAGATTTCACTTGAAAAATAGAGACACTATGAAGTTTAATATAAGAATTTGAAATTTAATTCTAAAGGACTAAGGAGCCCAATGAAAAGTTTGACAAAGGCATGAGTAATAAAATGTTTTAGTAATGCGGACATCAAGAAGGCCAATCAGGGATGGGTTGCAATAATTAAGTTGGAGACTAAAGTAATGAGCAAACAGGGGAGTCTCTTGGTGGAGGAAACAAAATGTATGGTTTGGAGAGATGGAATTTCGGGTGTTAGAAATATAGTAGAATTATTTAAATTGTTTAACTATTCAAGGAAGATTTCGTAATTCTTCGTCTTTTGTAATGAATCTTGAAAGCAGGTTACAAATGTATTAACTATGAGGTAAGTGGATTCATGAGTCACTTGAACTGAAGATAGAGTTGTAAAAGGAGATGCTAATAAGGGAATTAAAGTAAATTTACTTAGCATGGGTCATAAGCTCAATATAAGGGTACTTGATTATGTGTATACAATACCACGAGTGAAATTGTGAGCTGAAGATTTTATTTAAATTAAATGGATATGAGTCATACGGTGCCTCTCAAGTGTTTCTCTATGTGACTCAAATCCCAATGCACCAGTTTTTTACCCTAATGTCATGTGTTTAAGTCTCACACCATATTGTAATATACATCATGATGTATATTATTTTGACCTGTCCAAATTTCATGCATAGAAAAGTGTTCTGTATGATACAAGGACAGCGGGGACGCTCAATGGGGAAAGATAAAAAACATTTTATTGTCTCTCTAAGAGAACAAGGATATAACAATGAATGCATATATAAAATATATAAGGAGAATTTATCGTCAATGCCAAATTTACCTTAAATAATGTTTTCTTTGAATTTCCACTGCTTACTGCCTGTTTGAAAGCCTAATAAAATACTCTAATTGAAAATAAGTAGATAAGACGAATGCATATTTCTTGGGGACACCATAGCTCGTTTTCTCTCTAGAAGGACCGTTGGTGAAAGTAGATTTTATCTTGCACAGCACTACACCACAGTCTGGACACTAAGACCTTGATTTAATATTTTTGGATAAGCTCATCCAAAGATTTAATTTTTAGATTTTTTTTTAAATGATAATTATATACTTTTTATATATTGTTGTATTTCTTTTATATTTTAATATTTTGAGAAAATCATTTCAAAAGCTTATCCAAATATATTAAATCCAGGCCAAATATGGAAGCCCCTGTCCCCAGTGGCGTACACACAACCCATGGGGCCCCGGTGCGAAAACTGATCTGGCTCTGCGCGGGCCGGGGCCACAACACATGGTGGCGGGCACCTGGTCGCAGGGGTCGCAGTGCTGCGACCCCTGCAACCGCGGTATGTATGCCAGTGCATGCAGATACACATACACTTAAAGGACCACTACAGACACCCAGATCACATCAGCTCAATGAAGTGGTCTGGGTGCCAGGTCCCTCTAGTTTTAACCCTGCAGCTGAAAACATAGCAGTTTCACATGTGCATTCGGAGCTGAGATGCGGATCGGGGCGGAGAGATCCCCAGCGCCACACACACTAACACACACACTCTAACACACACACTCTAACACTAACATTAACACACACACATTCTAACACTAACACACACTCTAACACACACACACACTCTAACACACATACACACACTAACACACACACACACTCTATCTAACACTAACACACACACACACTCTAACACACACACTCTAACACTAACACACACACACACTCTAACACTAACACACACACACACACTCTAACACTAACACACACAACACACTCTAATACTAACACACACACACTCTAACACTAACACACACACACACACTCTAACACTAACACACAGACTAACACACACATGTTTTTTTTTTTTATTTCATCCCCCAGCCTCCCTACCTTTGGGAGTGCTGAGGGGATTAGCTGGGGTCCAGTGGTGTCACCTGGCAGGCAGGCTGGCTGGCAGGCGCGAGGGAGCACTCTCCCCTGTGTGCTCCCTCGCACCTCTCATATTGATGCCGGAGTCGGAAGATGACGTCATTTTCCGGCTCCGGTATCAGTGCGGTGTGCGAGGGAGGAGAGTGCTCCCTCGCGCCCACCAGCCAGCCTGCCCACCGGGTAATACCAGGGCCAGCTTTGGGGGGCCTGAGGTGGCTGGCTCCTGGGCCCCCCAGGAGAAGAGGCTGGCCACAGTGGGTACATACCAGGTCACACTTTCTTCTCTGAAAGTGACCACTTTTGAATACCTTACCCCAGGAAGTGCTTTTAAATTTCTCACTATGCTGAGAAGTACATGACAGGTAACTTAAGTATAAAACAAAGTTAAATATGCTGTATTTCTGTTATCTTGGTGAGATCTCAAGCTGACTTGGGCGTTTCCTATATGCTTGTATGTGCCCTTATGGCTACTGCATATTTAGCACTGGGGAAGTGGAGAGGGGTGATTAATTAATTTACACTACACACTCTGACTGTGCCAGGACTACTACACATACAATGTCAATTCGAAATCAGAAACCATTCAAAATTTAAGAAACATAGCCATACAGCTAGCTAATGTCTAGTTTGACAAACTAAAGCTAAAATAATTCATCTTTAGCTTAAATATCTCCATTTGAATTTAAATTTGCTCCAAATTAGATGTTAATGAATAAGCCCCCTAGAGGTATAGTTCACTAAAAAAGTGAGGCGTACTGAATGGAAAACAATATTGCAAAATTTGCTGCCAAAATAGTTACATTTATAAAAAGTTATTTAATATAGCATTTTTAGATAATTTAAACAAATTGTCCGTCATATTTGTTATCAGTTTAGCTGTAGTGGACTTTTTCCAAATTCACTTTGAATTCCCAGCAAATCTCACTTTGGTGAATATCCCTATTTGTGTAGTGTTTTTTAACGATCTAATAATGGTTATATTATAGGCACAATATGACACCTTGCTTCTTCACTCAGACATGTGCTAGGGGTAATTCCGTGTTTGTTTTGGGCCAAGATAAATACGAATCCACTTTGCAGCACTCAATTTGAGCGTGTGTGTTTACACACAGCGCCTTCTTAACACACTGAGACATGAGGACCGCAGGGATTAGTACCTAATGAATTTTAAACCTGAGTTCCACTTAAAGGGGTACTCTAGGCAATATAACCAATTCCTCTCGTTGAAGTGGTTATAGTGCCTGGAGTCCCCTTGCGCCATCTTTTGTTCAATGTTAAACCACTTTTGAGGGCCCCCGGCAGCCTGAACCCTCTGTGCTAAAAAAAACATAAGTCAAGTGGTGGCCACATTGCAGAGTAAAAAAAACAGTATAATATGTGTAGCATAAAGCAGTTTTTGAGAACCAGATGGTCGAATACTATACACTGCAGGAATATGAGCTGTTACGTCCAACGTGTGTTCTTTTTATGATAAAGATTCTGCTTTCCTACAAGCTAAGATTTCTTTTGTACGCGGCACTTGTTCTCAAAGACACCTTTCCTCAATGCCACAATACAGTTACAGCACCATCTTGACTTTGCCAAAAGTCTTCAGACTGATAATCGTACTGATAAATGTCCATTCGGTCATGCTTATCAGCTGGCATTCAATTTTTAAAACAAAAACTAAATAAAGCATAATTGAGTATTTGTCACGTCAGTGTGACACATTTTTAATTATCATAAAAATTATTAATTGACACTTATTACAAGCAGACTTAGTTCAGATGGTCTGGCCTCTGCCTATTGTAATTTTTGGTATTCTTGGTACCGTGAAAGATTAGGGATTCCATACACCATAACAGGAGTTCTCAAACCAGTCCATAAGACCCACCAAGAGTTTTGTCAGTATCTCCGTTGGAATAAAATATGGAAATACATTATTCCTGGTTTGTTGGTGGGCCATTGGGACTGGTTTGGGAACCACTATCATAATACACAGAAGATTGTGTTAGCAAGACTCACTCAATTAATTTTATCAAGCCTGATCATCTGTCAATATATTTTCTTCTAAATCAATATATGTAAATATATGAACTGGAGATTTTTGGATATTTACTAGGAAGTCTCTCAACTCATTTACTCTTAAATATAACCTGAATTTGTGAACATGCTCTTAAAAAAGACACATGCGCAGAAATTATCTTAGATCACATATTTAGACGTTGTTTCTTTTATTTAGTCCTGAAATTAAAGGCTCTGCCATTGCTTGGACTAGCCACTGCATTAAGGTTATGTCAAACGTCTTATTTAGCGTGACGATGGCTGACAGTACTTGATATGGTCTAGGGTTCTCCGTAAATAATGAGGAACGTAATTCTAATTACTATGAAGCACGGTGTAGTGGTTTATAGTTTGATAGCCTGACTTCTCGTAGCACTGTTCCCTCTAAGCAACCTGTGTTTTCATGGTCTCTAATTGATGTTAAACGAACATAGACAGACAATGATGTCTGCATCTTGGCGTTATTGCCACAGTATACTGTTTTCTTTAGCATTAGTTGTGAATTAAAAAAATAAAAAAATAAAAAATATTTAGATTTTTTTTTAAATATCAGTGTGTGATTTTTCTTTGAAAAATGTCCCCTTGTAGCGTTATGGGGAGGTTGGGTTATCCTACTTATATTTTTACTATACAGTTTGCATTTTCATAATGTAGAGGGGATTTATACTAAATTGTGTTTGCCTTCCACTTTAATGTCCTTATGGTTTAATTTAGTTTCATTTGTTTATCTGTGTTTTAAATTGACTGTTTCTCGTGCAGTAACCATGAATGTACAGACGCATTGCTAATCAATATAACAAACAGTAATTCCAGAAAAAGCACAGTAATATAGAGTATCATGTTAAACTGTGTTTAATATTTATAAATAATAACTGCCTTAGAGTCTCGTATGTATGACAGTCACAAAGCAATGATATATAAGCATCTACTGGACATCGTGGCCCTAAGGTACATCATTTCTCTTGGAATTCAATCATTTCTCCTTAGAACTAAAATATTCACCATCACCACTTTGCATTGTTTTGTCTTTGCTACGTTTAAGATGGTTTGAGAACGGTCTGACAACTTTCCAGGGTACCGATGGCTGCAAACGCATCTGGATTCTCCTTGGTGTAGAATCCAGTTGGCTCCACTGACTAGGGTCAGCTGACTGAAGTCAGCCATTGAATGCAGTCCTGTATTGGCAGGGATTAGCTCAGCTAAGACTCCTGGATTCTCCTTCAAGTGAACTCCAGATGCATTGCAGGCACTCAGGTAAGTTCTTAAAAAGGTTTGACAAAATACTTTGGGAGCAGGCTGTAGTAGTTATGTCTAACAATGGTTTATCTAGACAGAAAATATATAATTTACCTGTTTTTTCCCTTATAGTTTAATTTTCACTCTATCTGCAGGTATATTGTTCTTTATACACCGACGCATTCCACAGGCTTTACCTCAATGATCGATTTCATTGTTTTAAAAAGCTTACAGGTGCCATGACCCCATCTCCTCCAACCATACTAACACGCTATTACCAACAATCTACCTTTACATTGGCTTTTCCTATAATCTGCTCTCTAGCCTACTGCATGTAATGTATGTGTTTATATTTTGCTAGAGTCATTTGGAATATAGTGTTTGAATTCAATAATGCAATTCTAAAGATCTAAACAAATCATGCTCTATAAAACAGAATTTAAAAAAAAAAAGGCCACATTAAACCTAATGAAGTTAAAGCATACTGTTGCTTTATCTTCAATACTGTTTAATTAAACAATGATTGCATTTATTACGCATACCATGGATTACAGTAATTATTTTAGAACTAAATGCCAGCATCAGTGTATATTCATTCTGCCCTTTCTTTGATTTGTCAAAAAGGGGGGGGTTTTGCATCACTTTTTTTGACTTTTTGAGCACAGCCTCCTAGAGAACTGTAAAAATATAGAATGAATAAAAATAGCTTTTTGGGATAACATTTGGAATAATAAATAAAAATGTAATGTACCGCCGCATACCCTAAACAAAACTTATTTTTTGTGTCTTTCATTCTACGAGGGGGTTTTTCAATAAGTGACTTATAGTGGTTTTAAATTAAATTTTAAATTATAGGACACAATTAGTCAAGCCAGTGCAGTAGCCGAACTGACATTTTTATAGCTATATTGGACACAATTTAACTTTTTTTTTCATATATGTCGATTCACCGAAGGAGCAATATACCATGGTATCCAAAGTGCTCTCTGTGATGTTGAACCATAATTGACTTCTACAATTGTATCAAGTTGTTTGGTGGCAGATCTCGACTGGAAATAACTCATTTCAACTCGACTTGTTAAAGGAAAGCTGACATTCTATTTTTTGAATAGTATTATATAATCTTTATGTCACCATATACCATCTCATTAATTTTTTTCAGGTATGGTCAACTTCAAAAAACAAATCCCTTGTCTCCACTTCCCAACCCCCATCTTCCCCCCCCCCCCTTTCTGACGGTGATATTTTGCAAGAATGGTTCAATTTTGATAATGAGTATTGGGTTGGATTACTGACTAAATTTTTGATATCATTATCATTGAAGCCAACTCTGATCTTTGCTTGCAATATGGTGGAGAAATACCCATCTTAAAATATCTGTTAGCAAATGGTAATTATTCCCACAGTAAATCGACAGACTTCATTGGTGTTATGTTCAGATATCATAAAATATTTAACCATTTCTCAATTTTTGTGCACAATATCAATAAAACCCTTGTCCACCCCAAGTCCACATCTCTTTGCACCATTGCTATTGCAGTACCCTGTGTTACATGAAGAGAAGTTGGACTCTGTTAGGTCACTGGTTGATATAAAATAAATTGTGTCAAAGTCTGGTGCATTTTTCAGCTCTTCACATTCTATTATAATGGCACAATGTGAGTTAGCCTCGTTCTTCCCCTTTTAGCAATCAGTCATGACCAACAACTGGTGTGTTTTTCATTCTAAGCCTTTGGCTGATGGAACATTCTAGATATAAACAAGTTATTGAACATTAAAGAAAAAAAGAACAGTTTTGAAGTTTTTGATACTTTGAAACCAATGCCTGGCATGTAGAATCTTCTACCATATCTTGTTCAAAGTCATTAAAATATGTTGTCTTGACCAATTACCCTGTGAATGGCACACATACACAGCCAGTGCCGTACGTATGCAAATTCCATCATTAACCTGTATCTGTTTGCGGTGGGTTTAACAGGTTACATCAATAAGGTATCACAGTTTTCATTTTGGTTAACCTCATTAGTCTATCGTGTGGAAACAGCGGGTGTTCCTGATGTTTGTACACTAATTGCGTATACAGAGATACACGTAGCTCTTTACAAATATTCTTCCATCTCTCAGCTATGTAACAATTTACATAACGCTTTAAACATATTTTGACACTCACCATACATTTTTAAAAAAGTACTCGTAGATCCTGATTATGTGACATATTTTTCACATGGTGTTTTACCGGGTGTGAATATATTTAGATCTCTTTCATTTTCATGTACGTCCTGTGGAGTGAACACTAAACACACCTGGAAGGGTATATATTAAAAAGATCTACTAAATAAACAAGTAGTCAATTATGTGCTCCAGGTATTTGGTCAATATTAATGTATGTTAACGTTTTTAGTAAAATAACTTGCCTGGTTTAAGAGGATTCTGTGTCAGGGTAAACCTATGATTTGATGCGCACATTGTTTTTCTCCATAGCAGACCAGGGACTGGCTGAAAGACTTCAGCTACCTCCTGGTTTCAGAAAAAGAGAGGAGGTTGGTCAGATCACTGTGAAATTCTATAAAAGAGGGACATTCAAAAATATTTATTTAATGCATGATCTTTACAATGCTTTAAAAGGTGGCCTAGATCTGCACTGGAGTATTTATTTAAACGTAGTAATTATAGGTTTATTCAACCGTGGGTAGAGAGGGATATGAATTCAGAGAACTGATCTGAGATTTCCAGTTTCAGAGCTCTTATTAATACAGTACTTGACCCACTTTTTGTTGCGATGGACAGTAGAGGGTAAAGTGCTAAATCTGGACTCAAATTTGTAGTGGATGTGGGGAGCTGAAATGAGACTAATTTCGAGATTGAGTAGCACTTTTACAGAAAACCATTTATAAACCAGTTAGGAAAGGTGAAGGAAAGGTACACCTGATTATGAATATTAGTCACTTTAGAAAGTTAAAATATATCATACCATATACTTTATTTCCATTGTCGGGGATACCATTTGCATTTGATACATAATACGTTTACATATAATGAGATTGCATTTGCATGAGTGTATAGTGATAGAAAATGAGAAGTCGGGATCTACCCACAAGCAAAACATTTTGTAGAAATTGACTATGGGGAACCTTTAATTTCACATTATATTGACAATTAACTGAATATTGCTTCATTTAAGTACATAATTATATGGTTATATAGGTTTTTAAAAAAGGCATACGTCCATCACGTTCACAGGTTTTTTCTTCTGTTGATAATCAAAAAAAAGGTTAAAAAATAAATACAAATTTTAAGTGATTTCAAACTGATCTTTGGAAAGAGGGTACAATTATTCCTAACTTCGATGTTGTAACCAAATCTCTTCCTGAATCAACAAGTGGTAAATCTAACGAAATAATAAAAACTAATTGAGTATTGTAAAGAACTGAACCCAATAACAGACAAGTATTTAGTGGTGTCCCTGCTTTAGTATAGGTGAGTTATCCAGGTCATTTTCTTTAAAACACCTGTGTACCAGAAGGATTTTTATCACAGGGTGGCGTCTTGGGGTGATCTGAGAGCAGATTTTATTTACAGTCCGATACAATTACATTTTCCATTTTTGGCTCCCAGCAGGTTAACTGAGTGCTTTTCACCCTATCACTGCTGTCCGAGTTGGACACTGAGCTGTAGTGGTTATTCTGCCTAGACATACATCCCAAGTGGCCCTGATTAGGAGGGACAGTCCCTATTTCAGAACCAAATCTCTCTGTCCCTATGTTCTATCCTATTGTCCCTATTTTCTAGGAGCTCCATATTGTTGGTGTGTCTGAGTGTATCACAGGGCTCTAGAGCAATAATACTCCCAGTAACGTGTCTTTAAACTACAATAAATATGAATCAGTCTGTTTATATAAGATGCATTGTTTTTATTCTAAATTACATTATAGTTGTAAAAACTGTTATTAGTAAGTCACCTACAATTTTCAGAACAACCTCGCTCCACTCCTAAAGTTAAAGTGTCCCTCTGTCCATTTGCAATTTTGGGAGGTGTGCTTAGATTGCCTTTAACCCCTTAAGGACCAAACTTCTGGAATAAAAGGGAATCATGACGTCACACATGTCGTGTCCTTAAGGGGTTAATGTAGTGGTATTTGTTTATAAGATAGAATGTCTGGCTAGTGACTCCTGTGTTCAATATAGGTCGGAACCCTGGGGGTTTATTAGACCACTGATACAGTATTCACCATTTTACCTGCAGGAAGGTAACCCATACAGAGTATCCGCAGAGAGTCCTAAAAATAACACTCATGAGTACTCGGAAACAGACATTATACCTATCAGACAGAATAGCTTGTTATGATCCCTTTATAACACTGGGAAGTATTATAATACTATATGATACTTGTAAGACTGTAAAAAATGTAATCTTTTAGGATCAAGACAAACTAAATAAATGAACCAGTTTATCTAAAATGAATGTTCGTATTTCCATTCTATTCTACCATCCTAAGTCTTTTATCTTTTTGTACACCGATGCAGTATATGTTGGTGTGGCGTAATTAATTCATACTAATAACATATTGAGTTTTTTCTTCTCATTCTCTAGCGCTGTTCCTCCTTCATTTTTTATTTTCCCATCCTTTATTTTTCTTCCTCAGTCTCTCAAGCACTCATTAACTGTCCCTGTCAGTGTTTCCCATCCACGTGTCCCGAAGCTGTCACAGTTACATGCTTTATTCCAATAATTACACAATCACAATGCAACCCCCCTCCCCATCCCTCCCATGTCCGCCACACACCTTGCCCCTCGTCTCCCCTGTCCCATCCCCCACATAAATCCACTCTGCTTCCTTCCAACTGTGCTCTCTTCTTTTCAACGAAGGACCAGTTTCCATGGCAACTGCTGCTGTGTATCAATAAGGCACACTAAGCAAAAAGCTCATTGATCTGGTCTTTGATAGAGTCACAGGGTAATGGCTGAATGCTGTGCACTGTGTAACATGAGAGCAGTAAACATCGGCATCTACATCTGGGCTGGAATATGAAACTGGACAGACAGACATAACAGCATTCTATAGAACACTGTATTTCAGATGGTTATTTTGAACAATTCACATGTATCTGATTGTAATATTGCTGTAATAGGCTATAAATTGTACGCCTATGGACAAGACATTCAAATCCTACAGTTTTTTGTCCTTAGCTTTCTCTCAAATTAAATCTTCTGAGTCGCTTTAATTATTTTAGCATAGCAGAGTCTCTTAAAAACGTCTAATCATAATCTGGTTCAAGGACCACAAAAGTCACATAGGCCACTATATGCCAAGTAAAGTGGTCTGGGTGAAGTGGTTCTGTCATTTTAACCCTGTAACATCAAACATTGCAGTTTTTAAGAAACATGCGTACGTTGCAAGGTTGAACACACTTTTTGTGGCTGTCTTTCTGACAGCCGTTAGAGGTGCTTCGGCGGCACTGACAATTTAGTCACGTGACGCGGAAGCCCCCAATAGGAAAGCAATGATTGATGCAGGCGCTTCGGATCTCCCAGGCTCCACTGTGAGGAGCGTTGGATTGGACATTGGCGGAAGAGGCCATGCCTTTTTCTTGATATCACAGGATGTGGAGAGGTATTCCGTGCAAAGGGAGCCTCGGCGCTGGAAAAAGGTAAGTAAAACTTTATTTTCTCTATGTTTTACAGCACACGGTGGGGGGGTTAGGAATACCGGCTAACGCTTTAATGTTCCTTTAAAGGAAAGAGCAGTTCATTCATTAAACAGTTAGTTGATAAACAAACAGCTGTTGCGTAAGAGGAACACTATAGCGTTAGTAATACAAACATATATAGGTACATGTTATAGTGACCTGCTCAATGTTTACGGTACCTCCCCCCCACCCTGTTTATTTACCTTATCTCCCTCGCTTCGGAGGTCTTAATGATTTCAGTTAACTCAATAATTTCCCATAGGAGGCTAGTGCGCATGCGCTGCAAAATTCTGTGCTGCGCCAATCAAATGGTTTCTTTTAGCCCATCTGATTGAAATAGCCAAGTTTAGCTCAACTATTTCGATGGAAGCACCTTTAGTGGCTATCAGTGTGACAGGTTCCTGCAGAACAGCTATATTTTCAGCTACAGGGTTAAAACAACAGAAGAATGGCACCAGGACCACTTGATTGAGGTGAAGTGGTATGGGCGCCTATAGCATTCCTTTGAAAATCACTAACTTACCAGGGTTTGTTGGCTAAATGGTGAAATGTGGTGGACGAAGAGTTCCCTTACAACATTTAGACTAAACTAGCCAAGCTGTGACTATGGCTGAATTGACATATTTATAAAGCAACTATCTGTGGCTAATGTTTTCTATTTAGTTTTGTATTCACCACCACTTCCCCTTTAGCGAATAACCCTGAGTTATATATAAATTGTGGGTCTTTTTAGTATACATTTTTCAAATTCAGTTTTCAAAAAGCCGCAATTCACCTTTTAGCCACTATAAACCTAAATGTAAAGTCAGTGTGTTATGTAGCTTATTAACTAGTTTATAGCACGAGTACATCTCTTATAGAATTGAATTTAGCTATTTAACCTATTTGTATGCATTGCAATGGGTTATCATCCTCCTTAGCATTGAAATGCGTTAACTCCTTCATTGCTGCAGTCTACAACTCTACAAGAATACTCTACTACAGGGATAGGAAACCTTCGGCAGTCCAGATGTTGTGGACTACATCCCCCATAATGCTCTTACACCCATAATGCTGACAAAGCATCATGGGAGGTGTAGTCCAAAACATCTGGAGTGCTGAAGGTTGCCTATGCCTGCTCAACTATGTCGTTGGCACTGAAGACGTCTTTGAGCAAACTAGATTTTGATCAATTTATTTAAAGGGCCAAGTGACATCAATGGCTATAAAAAAAAATTGTATATTTAAACCAGAGCAGCGGAGTTGAAGAAAAAAATCTTTGCACATTCTTGAAATCAGTGGAGCAGAAAAATGCCTGTCAATACTGACTTAACCTTTGGGGGGAATGGATTAGTGGTTTTTAAAATGTTTTTAATAATAGATTTCTGTCCTGTAGTCTGAACCCAGCTTGCTATTGGCTATCTGACCAACCATTAATCCTTTCATTAACAATAAGTTATAAATTATATTTTTTGGGGGAAATAAATTATTTGATGCATAGCTACAGTATAAGCATGGATTAAAATAGCAATTACTTGTAGAGACTTCTATTCAACGATTAGCAAAAAAAAATAATCTAAATTTGCACAGTTTTAATTGTTCATTTGCTTGATCAACTTTCAAATGTTGGAGGTGAGGGAGCAAAATAATTTGGAGATTATATAGCACTGCCTATTTTGTAATAGTTCACATAGGTTCCAAAATGTATGTGTAAAGATATTTTTACTGTATATTGATGACTCTGGATTGGGATCATCAATTATTTCAGTTCGTGATGCCTCAAAGGACTCGGTGCCTCTGTATAACACAGGCAATTAGGACATCTTCCTTTTTACTCTCCAATATACAGTTCCTCTATATGGTGACTTTATTATTTTTATTTATTTATTGATTTTTAAGGAACACAAAGCACTGAGATAATGAGCCCATTCACACATGATAACCAAAGACACCGATATAAGATGAAACTCAGTTATATTAGATTTAACCCCATTGCAACGGAGTCTGTTTGTGGTACTGAGCTGTCATCAATGTACTTAACGAAGGGCTTCGTACCACAAATGGAGTGGGTTTAAATGCCCTTAAATCACAGTGATTGTGGCACTGTGGCTAGTAATGGAAGCCACACAAGGCAGGCAATTGTGTCGTTTCCTGAGTAGTAACTATTCCAATTTAATGTTGTTTTCACTAAAAATAGGGTATATTAAACCAACTCACTATCAGTGCAGATGTAGAATCCTAAACACTCAAAATGAGGGGAGGTAGCGGGGCAATTCAAAAAGGGACATGTCAATGATGTCACAGGGGGTGTGGTGGGTGCTCTCTAGGAAAAGGGAAATATTCTCCCCAAATGTCAGTGTGGCATTCTGATGTTCAGAAGAAGAGCTGAATTGCAGAAATTTTCCATATCAGCTAATGTTGCCTACATTTTGCAATTCAGCTTTCAATCCACCAAAGTTTAACTTTTAGTAAATAAATCCTTGTGTGTAAGATTAAATTTTAAAGCGTCTGTAGAGATAACAATTACCATAATAAAAGATAATTCATCTTTTAATTTTGAATCACAGTATCAGGCAAAAGTGTTTATGACACAGTGTGTCATTTATAAAATAAATAGGCTTTTAGACAGATCTGTATTCTATTACATTTCCTAAATGTAGCAATGATAAATTACAATTAAATTTGGAATACACTTTTCAGATGTTTCAGACATGTAATGGACAGAATGCATTTTCATATTAATTATTCCCCTTGTTCGAAATCCATCTGGGACTTACTCACTTAATGGAGAATTGTGAAGAACTGACACAGGAGTGCAAAGCTTAGGACAAAAGAGATAAATTGGAAAAAGTTGTCACTTCATTAAATATACAGGGAGATGCTTTTATGTGTAATTTTTAGTGATTTTTTGGTGCAATTCATTAAATCTGTCGGGTTTTTTTTTTATCTGTTGCTTCTTTTGTGCCTCGACTGTCATTTTTTAATATGGTCCTTTTTTGGCGATGCGATGGATTTATCAATTTTTCTGCCTCTTTTTTCCACAGGAAAGTATTTTTTTTCACTTCTCTTTTATGTGTCTCTAATTTTGCAGCATTCTGTATGAAGAAAAGTATTAGTTTTAAAACACTTTAGCCAGGGCTGAACAAAGACATTGTGCTGCCTGGGTCCAAGGATGAAATACTGCCTCTCCCCCCCCCCTACCCCCACCCCCGTCACCAGAACTATGGCACTTCCATTATGTTATGCAGTGTGTATAGTAAATGCAATGTCTGTGTAGGGGGATGCAGTGTGTGTAGTGAATGCATTGTATGTGTGTCTGTGTGTGTATAGTGAATGCAGTGTCAGTGATTGTGTAGTGGATGCAGTGTTTGTCTAGTAGATGCCGTGTCAGTGTTTCTGTTGTGGAAGAAGTGTGTGTAGTGGAAGAAGTGTGTGTAGTGGATGCAGTGTGTCTTGTGGATGCAGTGTGTGTGGTGCTCAAGCAGTGTGTGTAGTGGACTGGATGCAGTGTGTGTTATAAATGCGGTGTGTGTTGTGGATGCAGTGTGTGTTGTAACTGTAGTGTGTGTTATAAATACGGTGTGTGTTGTGGATGCAGTGTGTGTGGTGTGGATGCAGTGTGTTATGGATACAGTGTGTGTAGTGGATGCAGGGTGTGTTGTGAATGTAGTGGGTGTATTTGTGGGCTTGGACAAGGGCTGCAGGGGTGGGGAGCTTTGTTTTTTAAAATTTATATCTAAGCTTATTCCTTCCTCCCTGCCTCTTACCTGTGGTCAGGGAAGGTGGGCACTAGATTACCTGATGGTCTGGTGGCACAGCATGCGTGTCTTGTGAAGAGAGGGCCCGTGAGTCTAATCTCCACCTCCAACACAATCAGCTCCTTTCCTCTCGCGAGTTGCAAGAGCGTTGCCACGGGTTGCCTTGGCAATGCTTCAAGCGACACGTAAAACATTCCGGAGCTTTGCTACGGCAACCAGTGGAAACGTTCTACCCCACATTACTGGCAGGTCAGCCTGGTGTGGATACATGCCAGACTGAATGACAATCATTTTAGCCTGCCCACTGAGGGCAGACCCTGCAGGAAGCACTATTTCAGGGTGCAGGGTCCTAGTACCCTGAACATAGCGCAAGCTTGTCTTATGATGTGCTCGCACTAAGATTGTTGGCGACAGTAGTGCCAACCCTGCTTATATCTCTTAAGCATCTCCTATAAATATATATATATACACTCTGTAGTTGATGTTCTAATATCTAGAAAGGCTTATTATTTCTGCTATGGATCCTCTCTTACAGTCAGGAGTGTGCGTCTAATCTATCCCAGCACCATCTCTATCTCTTGATGTCTCTCTCAAAAGCCGCGTGTGTGTATTAGCTTAGTCCTAGCTCTTCTCCTTTTGAATTCATATGTATAATTATACATTGTGCTGATAGCAACCCCTACCTGTGTTTAATTTCCCCACTGCCGCGCGCAATATGTTGGTGCGTTATAAAATAAGGAATAATAAAATGATTATCTACCTTCCTTGTTAGCTGTCTTGCAGTTTGGTGCCTGCTATCTTCAATGGATTCTTAGAAACTGGAGCCCAGAGGCAGTGAAGATCTGGCCCTGCTTTGAACCATGCTACTCTTGTTTAAAGTGTTGTGAAAGAGGAGAGATGACCTCGATTTTTTTTTATATATAATAATACCTTTCAAAGTCTATTGAAAAAAACAGAGTGACTTATACAAGCAGTCATATACCATGGGATACAAAATAACATGAACCCAAAAATTCATAATTTACAATGTGCAATCACATAAGGAAAAGATAAAACATCCAAAAAAAAAAATTATGGATACTTTGCACTGTCTATTCCGATCAATAGGCAAAAATGGCGTCAGGAGACTGGTTCATTTATCAATCTGGCGGAGTCCGCACTCACAAGGGAGTAAACGTCAAAGTTATAGATCGGTTATAAATGTGTAGATATGTTTGAATATACTGCTTAAATATCAGGGAAGGGGACAAAGAGGAAATGAGAAAAAAGGAACATTATAAAACCATGGCAGTAAAACTGGAAGGTTTTTAGGAAGCAGCACAATGTACATGGTGGCCTTATCAGAACTTTATTCTTTCGCTCATGTTCAGCTGGGGACGGGGGCCATCTCTGCCATTTTAATCAGTGCTTGAGGCGGAGGCGGGTGACAGAACGTCAGTCAAAACAACCACGTGGCCATGGGAGAGTTGGCAAGGGAAACAGGGGGGCAATTATCCCATGGTCCACTAATATATAGGGTTTTGTGAGCTCTTTCTCTATTGATTTAAAGAAGGAAGCTGTGTTGGGATGTCTGCTGGCAAGGTACTATGAGATTGTACAGGGGTTTTGCTAGCCAAGCGCTGTATGCGTGTGGGTAGGGGCTTGTGACCACAATATCAATGGATTTGACTTAGTGAGTTTATACCGTACAAATAGGAGTTGTTGGGATACATTATATCTTACCAGGTTCAGCATCCTCTATCAGTCCATATCTCATGTGCCACTTGTTTAACACCATCAACAGAGAGTTCTGTGAGTTTTTTTGCACAAAAAGACACTATTCATTTGTAATTGCAGCCATCCCCCACACGTGGCACTGTAACTCTTGTAGTCATGTATTTCAGACACCCTCTTGATCCAGTCTCTCAACGTGGGGGGGATTTTACTCTGCCTCAAGAAACAGAGTAACACTCCTATAGTTAACCCAATTTTATGTTTCTTTCCCCCTTCTGACATCATGTGGAAGGTTGCATTGTACAAAACTTTTTTATTAAGTACTTTAATATCTGTTCAATAGTTTTTACCCAAAGCAGAAGCATACCTTGGTTTGGAATTTATTTTGGAACCTTACCCCTGCACCACCTCTAGCCCCCTTTTTATTTCAGAAATTACACACCCGCACATTCATATACATACACATAGTGCATAAGCACTAGCAGCCCAATGCTTTCCTGTATGACACTATAGCTGTTTGTATACTGTGAGGGAAAATGTGGTCTGGTAGTTGATGGCATATACATTAAGCCTGATTTACTGAACAGCAGCCTGAGGTTTGAGAGTTAAATGTCCCAGGGAGAGATGTTAGGTTTGCAAGATGCATCACTGGTACACTGCAAACCACGGTATGGGTCCCTGGGGCTGAGCACTTGGAGAGCAGGTTGGGCCCGTGCTCCAATAGCACCAGCTTAAAAAAAAATATCCAGGTAAATATGGAAAAAAAATATCATAATTGCCTGTTTTTTCAGCATGCAGAGTGAGGCAACTGTCTCATGCAAAGCTAAAGCTCTTGAACAAGACAGTTATCTCAAAGTGATACATGTCCCCTTAAGTTATATAGCGCATTGAGAGGTGGATTTAAAATTAATGTAACATTGCATTTAAGTGTTGCCACAAGGCTCATTTTGAAAAATGATAACTAATACGATTATGGACCTATTCAAAAAGACTTAAAAAAATAAATAAAAAAATTATGGACCTTTTCCTTAAAATGACTAAAATGTATAATGAATTTAAAGAGGCTTATTGGCTCAATGCTGAATTGAAGGAAATAAAAATACTAATCTAAAGTTGCAGCAAATATAGATGAAAATACTACATCATTTTGGACCTGATCACTAATCCAAATGTAAACCTTTATCCCACTTATCCATTTTGGCCCAAAGACGTATTATTTTCTAATATGAAATGAAGTACATGAATAATGTATTATAACTATAACATCTGTTTGTTTATTCATTATTATTTAATCCCTACAATTACTATTGGTTATTAAATCTAGTTAAGGTGATTTACAGGGTTATTAACTAAGTTTGCGATTAAATCTGATTTGTAAAATTTACAAATAGCCAAACAGTAACTAGAGACGTTTACTTAATTTTTTTCCCAAATCAGCTCTTTTAGCCTCAGTTTTATAATTCAGACTTAATTTACTAAAATTATGTAAGTTTTTTTTTTATATATATATATATATATATATATATATATATCCTCTTAAAGAGTAGGTAGATTAAAACCCTTCAATCATTATTTAGGGGTATATTTTTAGTTTTATTGCTTTTTAATGCATCATTATGCATTAATGAGGTAATGTATTAAAACATGTAGTAACATCTACCTTTAAGCCCCTTACAAAGCATTGAATGATGGATCACGCATATGGTTAAAAAGAGCACAATACTCAACTGAGATGTTGGAACGGTATCTTGCATTCAAACTTATGGCATTGAAGATTGTCTGCAACAAAACCATTATCAAAGCTCTTACCTTTACCACATATATTAAAGACCCATTAAAGGATTTTAGCTTCTTGAAGAGTGTGAAGAGTGTGTCCTGTTTTTTTTTTTTTTTCTCATTTTGCTAAAAGTGCTGATTTCAATAGAAATTGACACTTTTATAAATTACTCTTGTTACACCCCCCGGCTGTCAATCACACAACCTGTCTTGTTACTTCCTGGTTTGGTTAGATCAGTGGAACTAAATTCAAGAGGCAGCAATTACCCAGAGCCACCTGCCTTGTAAAGACTTCTCATTGAGCTGTATTGGAATGTCTAAGATTGGATGTTAGAAGGGGGGTCTCAGCAAACCTTCAAGGAGGTCCTGGACTAATTTCGTTCCTGTCTTTGCACTTTCTCAGCATCCTCATGGCCACCAACAGTCCAGGATTTATGTATTCCCCTTTTTTATTTGAATGGAGATACTGACAAAATCGGGACTGTTGGTGGACTGGTTTGGGAACCACCGTCATAGACAGCTTTTGATTTCCTGCAATACACACGATATAAATGAGGTCATTCTGGATGTGAAAAGGTAAATTAGGTCAAGTCACAAACTCAGTTTGGCAGGGCACTGGTATGTATTCTTGTCACTGGAGATTTTACTTTTAAACTACATATGTTTTATGGTGTATATATAGTAGAGTTGTGCATGGAAATCATTTTTCATTCTTTCCGGTCATTCTTTTAGTTTGTTTGTTTTTTTTCGGTTCTTCCAACATTCGTCATATAGTCTTCAGTTTGTCAGAAATTTTAATTATTTACCAAGCGTCGGGTGACCGTTAATCTCTATGGCTTGCTGTCAGCGCTAGCACCCATCAGGCAAATGCCTTACTTTCCCTTAGTGTCGCAAGTGTTAACCATTTGGCTAGCCACATTATGTAGAACAAACTAATTGGCCTATAGGGGTCAATATGGCAGGCAATTGTAGCAGAAATGTAAGAGCTGTATAGGCTGGTTCAGAAACAAGATTGACATTTTCAAAAGGTTACTCCATCCACAATGACAACTTCAGAGAAATACTGCACTTACTATGATATTTGTAATTGTGTGTTGGAGCTAGTTGTACCCCTAGAACACATGTCATTGATAGCCCAGAACTCTGATCCAGGCTGACAATGTCAATTCTGTGCATATGTTATGTCTGTTGTCACACTGACAACAGACGTAGAAATCTACTACGTCTATCCCTTTATCTCCCTCGGTATTTATTTTTGAATCCCTCCCCTTACCTCGGCAGCCCAGAGTGCACACACATTCTCTGAGCCAGCGAAACGAACCAATCATAGGCTTTTCTATGTGATTGGATTGTGCAAGGCCCCAGTGATGTCAGAGGGGGCACAGAAGATCAGTGCCAGGGGTTTCGCCCGGTGCTCAATTCCAGAGGAGTAAAAACTTTTATTTGCAAGTTGGAGGGCAAACGGAGTGGGAGACCTTCTCCATGGTGCCCAATAGAGCATTTTCATCAGATAGTTCCCCCCCATCCAAAAGGATTGAAGTAACCCTTTAAGAACATGGGTAGAGATTCAGCCTTTCTTTATGGAACGTTTAAAAAAAATCAGGTATTTCTCAAGCCGTGTTACACTGCTTTGGATAATCTGGCCTCAATATTAATTAAAGGGACATTCTAGGCACTCTAACAAACTCCATCTCATTGTACCAGGAGTCCCCTTGACCACACCTGCATTCAGAGTTAAACCTTTATTGAACAATCTAGCAATAAACAAGGGTCCCCGGCTGGTTTCAGTTTACGACAAATTTATATTTCGTGAATAAGTTTGTACATCGTATTCATATTATTTGTCATTATATGGTTTGCTTAACATTTCCTTTCTCACACAATAAAGAACCATTAATCTTTGGGAGAACGGTATTGAATTATAGTCATTTTGGTTTCACAGCATGGGCCACAAACAATGGCAAATACAAAGCAGCCTTTTGAGGAAATTAGTGCTGGCTGGAGAAATGTTTGAGTTGGTGACAACTGCAGTCTACGTTTTCCCATGATGCACAGCAAGCATGCACTCAAGCACATTTTTTTCCCATAATTCCATGCAGACACAAGGTGACAGGCATTTCTCTCTATGATGTACATATGTATATGTGTTCACATTCTGTGTGCAAAGCATCATGGAATACCAAGTGATTTGCAACATATGCCAGGCAGTGCCTTGACAACATTATATATGACATACAGAATTTTTTTTAATTAAAACAAAGTGTTATTTAGAAAAGAAAAAACTTTAAGCCTGCTGTTAGTTTTGTGAAAATGGTGAAATGTAAAAAATATACTAGTGCCAGTGTCAGTGGTGTTTAGAGGACCAGTTTTCTAGTTTAAATATTAAAATAAATTGTAGAACAGATGACTGAAGAGGGTGCATTTTAAAATGATTTGTGTTTGAAAAACCCACTACAGCACATTGTTCTTACCCCATAACATTACATTTCCTTGCCTGATCGACTCGAAATGACAGTATAATGACTCAATTCTCAATATTCTGACCTTCTGATTCTTTCTCATCCTCTGCCAAATTGTTTAACACAATGCAATTTTTGTTTGTCGTTCAATGGAAAATGATATATAGTATCTATCTAGTTTTCCAAAAAGCATTTGGTAGTCTTCCAGACTGGAAGCCAACCTGTATAATAATTATACTATGACAACGGTATAAGAATTGTACTTAAAAGAACACTGCAGGCTCAGTTTATCATCATTGTTAGGTATTTTAAAATTAAATAATTGTAAAAAAGAATTACATAAAATTAGAAAAATATACCATCTTTTGACCGTTTACATCATAGTCCTGGGTTTTGATTATTTTCCCAGTAACAGCAAAAATATAAGTTAACTTTGCAAGGATATGAAGTTAACAATACGTCGATGAAGTATGCCGCCATGTTCCTACATTCTTGGTACGCCAGCTTCCCATGGGGACGAGAGCGCAGACAAGTCTGGAACAATGAAAACTGCCCAAATCTGTAGACTGAGCCCCAAAGGGGAACGATTCACAAATAAATCTCACAGATTATTTAATTATAAGGATGGCCGATAAAAAAGGGAAAGCACGGTGGAACAACGTTTTGTGCTTTACTAGCACGTAATCATAAGGTTACTCTACAAGTTAGTTTTAAATAGTTTATCTCACCATCTTGTGTTTTCTGTATAATTAAATTATAATGGAATGAATTGTCGAATTTCTCAAGCCGAGGTCCTCTTGAGGATTTCCATGTGGAGTGTTCGTCTTTGAGGATACGATTACAAATGTTTCCAGTGTTCACTTTTTCAATAACATTTCTCAACCAATCCCAGTCTTCTTATACATTTTTTATAGTAGACATGTATATGTTAGAACTTCTCACTTCCAACAACAGCCATTCACCCTGCATTCATTTGGGGATATTTAGAGATACTTTTCTTTCTGCTCTGATTGTAGTAATTTGCACTCAATAAATTATCTTCTTTGAAATGGATCCATGTTGTGGAGTCAAAGCAGGATTAATCGTGACCCTAGGGCCCAGGGGTTAAACAGGGGCCCCAGAACCATGAATTAGCTTGGCCCATTAACTAATCCCTTTGTGAAGAATGAAGGAGGGGCCCAAAACAAAAAATGTTTTATTTGATTTCTGAACACAAAGCTTACAATCAAATGTTGGTTCATGTATGTTTCTCTTCTTTATAATAAACACCAGAATGTGCTTTATTGTAACATATACCTACTAGAAATTATTTTCTGCTCTTTAGGTGAATGGAAAGGAACTTTCAAGACTTTCTCAGGAGCAGACGTTTGAGACTCTACGCACCACTAAAGATCCTTTGCTGATCCAAGTGCTTAGGCGGAGCCCTCGTATGAAGGGGACACTAGCCACCTCTTCCCAGGACCTGCAATTTGTGGACAGTGGCACACAGACGGACATCACCTTTGAGCACATCATGACAATGGGCAAAGCACGACCTCCTAGTCCAGCCATGGTGGTCCTGGAACCTTATGTACTCTCAGAGCTGTAAGTAAAGAAGAACTGATGCCTTGATATGGTGTATAAATCCTATAAAATATATATATATAATGATATCACTAATATTGTGCAGAATCTAAACTCCCATAATCACAAATTCCAGTGTATAACATAATCTTAATCTTATAATCATAACCTTGAAGTGAGCCAAGAAGACATTGACTTCAGGACTGTGATATGATGAATGCAGTCCACAAATTATGTTTTTAATAAGTGTCAACATTAATACTGGGATTTGGCAATTTGGCAAGAAGTAAATATATATCTATTGAGTAAGGCATCAAGTAGATACAAGCTGCGGGTGAAAGTAAAAAGAAGAAAAATTGGTACGTCTCGGAATCTTTCTTCTCATTGACATGTGCATTAGTCCAGAAATGGTGGGGAAACACTGTTCTCTAGACTTTACAGCACACAGAATATTGCTTAGGCTTGCTAATATATAAACACGTTGCATATCATGGCCTTTATTTGATTACCTATAGCCACTAGTGGTGCCACTAGCAGCGGCACTCCAGATGTTGTGGACTACATCTATCATGATGCTTTTCCAGCATTGTGGCTGTAAGAGTATTATGGGAGAAGTAGTTCACAATATTTGGAGTGCCGACGGTTGCCTAACCCTGCATTACTGGATTGTATTTCCTCCACAGTTTGTATCTGTTTTATAGCATTCTATATTAAAGCAGTGCATATCCAGTGCAAGTTCCAGGGGCGTGATTCTTATTCTTTATTGTCTGTTATAGATACACATCAAAATATCCAGTGATTAGTTTATTATACAAGCAATATAAAGTATATTGTATAATGTCTTTAATAATGGAACTATTGGACTTGTAGCACTAACATTGATTCCTCTTACAGCCCACCCATCGGAAATGAGTTTTACGACCAGGCAGCCTATATGGATGGTGCGCAGCCCGAGGGAGAACGAACTGATGAATTGGAATATGAGGTGAGCCCCTACCTTCATTTCAGGTTATCTCCCACCTATTGGGTTATATCTATATGATACAGATATAGACTTGATCTATGTTGTACACTCTGAACTATTTTGATATCTGTAATGTCCCTATCCCTGTTTCCTAACACGATTCTGTCTTTATCTTTATTCCTGTATCTATTTTTCGTACTAGCCTCTATCTGACATGTTTTATTGCTTTTTTATCTCTGCCTCCCTACAAGCCAATATTACGTCTTAGGCTCGATTCAATCTGCTTATCTGTCCTCACTCTATTACACCTCAGCACCTATCTGTCTAATACTGTTACTGTTGCAGTTGTGTTTCCATTTCATTGTTCCAACGTACCTCATACTATACCTCTTATTTCACTGCCATCACACTGTGTCCTTAATTCATTATGTCCCCCTAGTCCTTGCTATGCATTCAAGTGGTATTCCTTCTCTCATATTTCTATCCCACCATCATAACATCAGACTATCTACTGCTATCAATCTTCATAATGTATTACTTTTTAACTTTTTGTCCATGTCCTGTTTTTCTACACCTTTATCCCACAGTCTGTATTTTATTCATTCATTCACATTTTCCTTGCCACATTTACTTAGTGCACTCATACCACATTAATTTATTGCAATCGTGAATCATTAATTTACTGAACCCATGCCACATTCACTAACTGCAAACACGCTGCATTCACTTACAACATCCGTGCCACATTCACTTCCTGCACCCACACCACATTCACTAACTGCATTCACTTACAGCACCCACACCACATTCACTTATTGCACCCATACCACTTTCACGCCATATTCACTAACTGTATCCATGCCACATTCACTTAGTGTTATCCACACCACATTCACTAACTGCATTCACTCCATATTTGCTTACAGCGCCCACCCCACATTCACTTATTGCACCCATACCACTTTCACTAACTGCATTCACGCCATATTTACTTAGTGCACCCACACCACATTCACTAACTGCATTCACTCCACATTCAATTACAGTACCCACACCACATTCACTTATTGCACCCATACCACTTTTAATTACTGCGTTCACTCCACATTCACTAACTGCATCCATGCCACATTCACTTTCAGAAGACATGACTATTTCACTTAGTATGTTTATGTCAACCTCACCGCATTCGTCACTTTCACTTCTTTCATACACCCCACCCTCCCTTTCACATACTCCATTCACACCACTTTTATTCTTTCTGAGTAGATGCGACTTAAGTACTACTCCCATGTCAGTTTCACGGTCTCCATCCATGACAAGCTCCCTGTGTATCTCTCTGGTTTTTTTTTTCTGTCTCACATTATCACCTTCTGTCTTTATGCCCTTATCATTCCATATATATAACGTCCCCTAATCAAATCACCTTCTCTAGATCTAATTCTCTCTTACTCACTTATGCCCTTTGTCAGTGAACATTGCCCGCTCTGGGTCAAGTTTGAATTTTCTATAAGTCTTGACTAGTTTACATGTGTCCTTCTTTCCTCCCTGTCTGCTGTGGCCTTCTGTTTGCTTGTTACAGGAAGTGGAATTGTGCAAGTCAAACCATTTGGACAAGCTTGGACTGACTGTGTGTTATCGTACCGACGATGAAGAGGACCTTGGGATATATGTAGGAGAGGTACAAGGCTCTACTTTTTTTTTCACAGTTATAAAGTATACACCTTACTATTCATCACAATGTTTTCACTCCCCATTTTTTTTAAAGAAAAAAAAGTACTCACAACTGTAGCATTTGGCAAGAGAATCCATCAGTCAGGAGCACTATGGTTGTTTTTTTTATTGCATAAACTTTTGTTGCAAGAGTTTATGGGATAAGTCACTTATCCTCCCCCTAAAAGCAATTCCACTCAGCACATAGGATGAGTCGAACTGCACAATGAATAGCTCAAGGGTGTAAACATATAAAAATAACTGAAACTGAGCAACTCATTCCGTTTCATGTTGCATTAATCACTAACAGGTTTATTTACTAAAGTGAAAATTCAAAGTGAGTTTAAAGTGAATTTCAAACTTAATGCTATAGAAGCCGAACTGAAAGCATACGTGACTTAGAGAATATTTTTTTACTTTGGCTATTTTTACCTTAAATTTGAAATTAATTTAGAATTTTCACTTTAGTAAATAACTGTCAATATTTTTCTTTTTGAGGCCCTTAACATTAGGGCCTGTAATATGTGCTAGCTCCCGGAGATCTCTTGGATCTTTGGACCTGTAGTATATGCAACCTTCCTGAGATCTCTTGGAACTTTGGGCCTGTACCATGTGCTTCCTTCCTGAGACCTCTTGGAACGTTGGGCCTGTAATATGTGCTAGCTTCCTGAGATCTCTTGGAATTTTGGGCCTGTAGAATGTGCTACCATCCAAAGATCTCTAGTTGAACACCTTTAGATAGGCTAGTTCAGAATAATGTATTTGATTACATTTTCTACCAGAAGAAACCAATGATGAGTCAAAATATAAACTGTTTCCCTGTATATACTCACTAACAGGTCAATCCAAACAGCATTGCAGCAAGAGATGGACGGATAAGAGAAGGAGACCGAATTCTACAGGTAAAATTGTCACGAGAAACAATAAAGCAAAAAAATTACCTTATTCCATTTACATTGTTAGCAATAAGGAAATTGGAAATAAATGTGTCAAGTTGTATCAAAACTTAAGTAATGATGTTGTCTGATTCAGACTCTGACTTGCATCATGAGGTTCCCATCTGGTGTTTTAATTTTCCTATTTCTGTTTCGATAGTTTGTCTGCTCTGACCTAATCGTGCTTGTTGACTGTATTTCAATTAAAAAAAAAGCATTAAACTTCTATCTATCTTGGAGTGGACAAGCTGACCATAGAAAGACAAGTAGTCCAGCATCTCCTCAAAAATTCAGATTCCCCATATTAAAATGCTTAAATGTATTCAAAGCAACAATTCAACCTCAAACTAGGCCTTTCTCAAGAGACAATGAAGGTTTGAAGATCTGCTGTACTTGGTCTGTTCTTGTCGCTTACTATACTGGTTTTGAACTGGAGTCCTGTTCCCTCTGAGGACCGTGCTTTCCTTAGGTTAGGAAATAGGGAAGGCAGTCAAAAAAAAAAAAAACAATGCAAAGTTAAAACCAAAATGGTAAAGGTAGCATGATTGAATGATAACTAAAATAATTCTAAATTATACAACTTAAAAATGATTCACGAAAGAGGGTAAAATAAGTTTGTTTTACATGGAAAAACATAATTTGCCTAAAAAGAAAAAAAAATTCCATGTTTTGCCCCGAACAATTATATGTTGAAATCATCCATTCTTACAAATCTATCAGCCAGGGTCTATCAACAATATCGTTTGTGGGATGCTGACCTGGACTTTGTAAAAGGTTCCTCTCATCCTCCTGAGAGCCTTTTTTCTTGGTCAGTTAAGTCCTCTGGGATTGAATAATTCATTATCCATTTAGCCCACAGCTTATTCAATTAATAGGGCAACGACTATAACAGTTCAGGGTGAAAAGTTGTCACAAAGGCATACAGGATTTTTACAGCTCGGATGAAGCGCATTCCATGTTCTTTTAATGTGAAATAGCATTTACTTATGTGAAAACTGATCACTTACAGACAATCAATTTTAAGAAACCTACCAACTTATCAGTTGTATGTTCTAAGGAACTCAAGATATCATTGATTAATCTTTGTCTTCATTTACATTGCAGATTAACGGTATTGATGTGCAAAATAGAGAAGAGGCAGTGGCCATTCTAACACAAGAAGAGAACACAAACGTCTCTTTATTGGTAGCCCGTCCAGAGACAGAGGTAAGAGGGTGATTATTGTGCCTCTACCCCGAAACACTGCCAACTATATAAAGTTCTTGTACTCTCTCTCGCTGACTTATGGAGTGCTAAAAAAAATTAGATGCAATGTGTAAAAAAAAAAAATTAGATACAAGTTATTAGTTATAGGAATTATTTATTTTTTTAAATTATATTGTGTTGTGCTGGATCGTACTAAAACATACAGGTAAATATGTGAGACAACCACACCTTTTATTAAAGGCATGTAAGGGGAAATTCACAGTACCACAGTAACTGTCACCTAAACCACATCAAATCTTATCAGCATTACTCGATAAACGTATGATACTTGTACGTGTTACAATGACACAGTGTCATTGTTGAAGACAATGTTCACTTTCCTCCTTATCAGGTTAAACAGTTATTGGGATTCTTTCAACTACCTTTGTTTTATTTTTTTTGTAGATGGGCAGACGATGGAAAGATAGTGATAGAGAGGACTTCCTTGATGACCTAGTATCGGAAAACGAAGAGGAACTTCAAGCACAGAGACTAAATTCTCCACCTCAGCAACAGGTAGACAACAAAGGAAACATGCCATCCAAGCACTTTGTGGCATGGCAATAACAGTTATTTTAAGAATTGGTGACAGTTAAGTCCCACAGGTATCTTTAGCCCTGCACTCAACCCAGGTTTCCAGTGGTCTAGTAGGTCTAAGGATGTACAGCCTTAGGAGCACAGAGATTTATCCTTCCTGCTCCTATTCATAAGTGGTATAACTCCACAAGAGGGACCCATTAAAAAAATAATTTTGGTTGCCCTGGTCACCTCTGTCCCTTGTACTTAATCAACCCCTCACTTTTTTTACACATCATTCTAAATGTAGAAAAATAATGACTACGGTGAAGTTCAATAATTTTAGATATTTATTGCTTAACACCTTACTGTTTCTTTAACTAGGCTCTGTGCTGTGCTCTGTGCTGTATGAAATCTATTGCTCACATCTGTTTTGTAATTTACATTTCACAGACAACTACATCCAAACCAGTCTTTAACAGTGTATATTGTGATAAATACGTATTTATATTAAGCTTTGACTAATACAATGTATACATGAAAAAAATGAGGGGACATCTATAGGTAAATGCTTTATGTCTGTCATATTTTATTTGCATGTTGACAGCACAGTCATGTTTTTATAATATAGTATATGCATGTTTAATCATACAGATTTATAAATATTCCAAACAAAATTATGTAGAATTATGTAGAATGCCTTTTTAGTGTGAATTTGTGTCTTTCAATTTCCTGTTTGACCGGATCTTCCTTTTATCCTAGGTTGAGAATGAGGCAGCTGAGCCCAGTCCCAAATCTCCACGCCCTTTCCCTCTCCCTGCAGGCCTGAGTCGGAGTCAGGAACTGGACAGTGGAGTAGGGAGGACAGATGAGAGCACCCGCAATGATGAAAGTTCTGAGCATGACCTCCTGGGAGATGACCAGACAAGCACTGCGAATACTCCAGGCAGTCAGCGTCGCCTTCGGTTCCTACGTGGAGACTCCCAGCATCCTTTGCAGTGCCGTGAGTTTCACCACAGCCTTGACTCTCTGTTGGCAGCAGATGGCTCGACTCCTTACGGTGAGGCTCTGCCACCAGCTGCAGGGCTGACAGATGTGGAATATGAGAGATATAGAGAACTTTTGGAAATCACCTGTCATCTGGAGAATGGCAATGGACCTGCCTTCCTATACGCATCTCGTCAGGGTGGCCTTGATGTAAACCGCAATGAGAGTGTCCTCCGTGAAATGGCTGTACTCGAGGAAGAGCTACGACATTTGGAGTTCAAGTTCCGCAATGTTCTTCGAGCACAAAAGATGCAACAGCTGCGGGAACGTTGCATGAAAGCCTGGCTTCTGGAGGAAGAGGACAGTCTTTATGAATTTGTAGGTGGGGGCACTGCCAACATTGAAGCCTCTACCAAGCTCCCAGATATTACTGAGTTGCCAGAAAGATCAGACAAGGACAGCACTAGTGCATACAACACTGGAGAAAGCTGCCGGAGCACTCCTTTAATGATAGAACCACCAATACCCTTGGACAGTCCACTGAGGCGGATTAATGATACATCTGGTGCATTATGTCAGGCAGCAGAGGGCCTCTGTTCCAATGCTAACATTAACAGAGGACATGTCAAAAATGTTCCACCATATCCTGGTAGTCCTGAGCATGTGTCATCAAAATTCCGCTCTCTGTGTCGTGATGGACGGCACACAACAGATGAGAGATTGAGACGAGGAGCCAAGCCAGGAAATGAGCTAGATCGTGGTAGTCGAGAGAACAGCCCGTATCTCAGCAGACGCCAGCGCTCCCAAGGAGGGGAACGTTACCGAAGCTGCCTGCAATTAGCACAACAACGCAGCTTAGATGAGCTGGACGGAGATCCCACGTGCGTGAAGGGCATAGGGGTCTCCCATGGTACTCACCCCCATGCAGAGCCACGTATGGAGTGGAAGGTAAAGGTAAGAAGTGATGGTACACGGTATGTGGCCAAGCGCCCAGTGAGAGATCGTCTACTGAAAGCCAGAGCCATGAAAATCAAAGAGGAACGTAGTGGAATGACCACGGACGATGACGCTGTGAGCGAGATGAAGATGGGTCGTTACTGGAGCAAAGAGGACAGAAAGAGGCATCTAATGCGAGCTCGGGAGCAGAGAAAGAGAAGGGAATTCATGATGCAAAGCAGGTTGGACTGCCTGCGGGAGCAACAACAGCAACAGCAAGGGGTAGAGGGAAAAGGGGAGATGAGCATCATTGCCCTCAGCCACCGCAAGACCATGAAAAAGCGCAACAAAAAGATTCTAGATAATTGGATAACTATCCAAGAGATGCTGGCTCATGGAACACGGTCAGCTGATGGCAAGCGAGTTTATAATCCACTGCTCTCTGTCACCACTGTCTGAGCGGCAGCGAGGATGTTTCATACTCTCTTTGCCAAATGAAACTCTTCTCTGACCTTCATGTGCTCATCTTATTTACAGTCACTGCCTTATCTCTATTATATCATCTTGAGTTGTCTTTGACTTTTAATATTTCTGTCTAACATTGGGTCATATTTATATAATCTCCCCTCTTGGTTCCTTTGTTCTCTGTTTTTTTGGGGGGTTAGGGGAGGAGGGCAGGAGGTGGGGGTTGTTTGTTTGTACTTTCTGTTCAATTTCATTTTGTTTTGTTCTTTGTCTTCCCCATCCCGTTCAGTCAGAGGAACCTGGGAATGGGTATTTTAATACAGGGTGAATTCAAATAGCAGCCATTACTTGTAGATTTCCATCTTGAAAGAAAACAGCATATTTCAAATGTTTTGTTTAGCGACTGGACCAAGTGTTAATCAAACAAAGCAACAAGCTGTGGAAGACAACGTTGGATTTTGAACACAATTTAAAATGTCTCCTACATGGAGAGAACTTGGAGCACAATTAAGTCAAACGGCTAACAAGCTAAAACTTTTCCATGACCCTACAATATCGAAAGATATATCACTACCATGGATTGCCCCACAGCTTGTTTATAAAGGGGTGCTAGGATCTGTTCGCAACTAGCCAATACTTAAGTTGAGAATCTGGGAACTACGATAATGCCAATCATATTTTGAAAATTGAACACTGCCATCTGGTGGTGAATGAGCACATAGACAGCTATAATAATGTTGGTCTGGTATGATTTTTCTGATGGACCATAGCACAAAGTTGATGGTGGTTCGGGAATTAGAATTATTGGACTTGCAGTTTGCCTTCCAGATATCACTGCACATGTAGACGCTCTGTGCAGAATCATGTATTAGAAAACTCAACCTGTCTGTTGTTGTTTAGAATGTGATAGTGACCTTTGTTTGATCCTATTTATTGTTACATTCCCACTATTTTGTTTGTCTTGGAGTGGATGTGATAGACTGAGGAAATGATGAGAAGACACATACTAGGTACGAGGTTTCATATGCTCAATGCGCTCTTGATGGACGGGCAAGAATAGATCATGTACTCTCTCTGTCCTCATCGTATTCCTGATTGTTTCCGAGCAACCTGGTGGATTATGAAGAGTAAACACTCAAACATTTTCAGCATTTTCCTCTGAATGTCAATGCTTTCAGCCTGTGTTTTTCAGGTCAATAGTTCTAGATAGGATATGAAAGCTCCGGGGATTTGTTCAATGTGGCTGAAAAGCTTTAAGGATGCATTGATTAAAGGAACCCTTGGTACACAGTGAAGTGAACAAAGCAGCATTACAAACTATTAGAAGAACATAGCTCTCGAAAAAAAAAAATATTGACGGTATTACCAAAATGTAAAATGTGTACTAAAAATGCACAAACAGGGTGTTGCATTGCTCCTACATACACATTTTACTGTGTAGTCTTTTGTAGCGGTTCTCAATCCCCGAGTCGAGACCCCAAAATGAGTCTCACATATCATCTTGGTGCTCTCTTGGTAATGTTAGATTCCTAAGGTCCCAGGCATCTGCCCACAATAAGCTATTTACTGTAATAACGTTGCTTTCTCTAGAGCAGTAGAGAGCCCTTGATTACAACAAATTATTAAATTAAAGGAACACTGAAAGCGAGATGACCACTTGGATTGAAGTGATTATGGTGCCTGTAGTCCGCAAGCAGTGGGTCCTAAATCACTAGTAAATGGTTTTCTCTAGGTTTAGTAAAGATTCTCAGCCCTTGGTGGGCTGCCTGAAGTCCAGCCTCCAGTGACGATATAGCATAGGTGGAGCTACGTTCCACTTCCAGAGCTACCAGGCAGTGATTGGCTGTGAGCATCAGTCAATCACTGCCCCCAATACCTGGTATGGCGTGATGCTGACTATAACTGCGCCTCTGCCATATAATCATTTGAGACTGTTCTTCAATCTTCCAGGGACTAATAATCTTTACTAAACAGTGAGCACACTATTTAGAAGTGATTCGGCTCCCAACACCTGCAGACACCAAGCCAATGTCAAATACATAATCTGAGTCCATGACAAAACTGGTTGAAAGCCACTGACTTATTATATGGACATGCAAGAGTATTCCATAAACATAGCATATCAGAATTACATTCAGAATGAAGTGAATGTGACCGATACATTCACCTACTGTTGCAGGAAAGCAGAAGCCCTAGCTCGCCATATAGACATTTATACCCAATCCCGGTTATGAGCACTGTGTACATGCAATAAAATATAAAGAAAATACAATACATGCATTATATCATACAAAATCCAAACATGGACAGAGACAGCACTGAAAAACCATCTGGCCCATCTAGTGAGCCCATTTTAGAATGTTTTATTTATTTATTTATTTAGTCAGTCTCTTTATGCCGCAAGTGTTCTTGAATGATTATACTGTGTTAGTCTTTACCACTAGTCAGCTATTCTAGGTATCTACTACTCTTTCTATAAAGTTGCATTTTCTCCCATTACCCAACATTCATTCATCTCCCAACTTCAGACTCTGCTCCAGTGTTAGTGTTTATCTTTTTTTTTTTTTTTTTTATAAATTCTTCCTTCTTGAACTTTATTTAAGCCTTAAAGAATTTTCCAATATCTATCCTGTCTCCTCTCTCACTTCGCCTCTGCAAAGTTTACATATTAAGGTGTTGCAGCCTGTTCTGCTCTCTAACTTAGCACAATCATGCCACCATTTAAATTCCCTCTAAATTGCAGTTTTTTCAAGTCCAGATCTTTAGATCTACATCTACAGTTTTGTCGGTGATTAATCCAGTGCCATTTGTACATTTTTTTCTGTGGCATCCCATAGAAATTGTGGTGTCATTCATTAGGGTTTGAATAAAATGGAGCAATTGGACAACTATTACAATACAAAGTATGGGAATTTGGAAATGTATCAAGTGACAAACTGTCTCCCGATTTGGACAATTGGGGTAATTCTTGGTTTTCCATTGCTGGATTTTTAAATGCAAAATTATACAATAATGTCTCACTGTATGCCAGCAAAGTATTTAAATTCAATCAGGTAAAAGTAAAAATTAATACAAATCTTGAGCCCTGGATGTAGATTCCTGTGGACACAGCATTTATGATGAATTGGCTACATAAAATCAATAGAGGGAGACCTGACAGTCACTACAGGGCTTACCTCAGAAGAGCTAGTGGGCATTTCTGTTTAGGAACTTCTGGTTCTCCAGCGTTGGTAGTGGACTTAGGGAAAAAAATTTTTTGACTCCTTACAATGTGTGGGTTACCAGGGTACTCCTGGCACCATAACTGGTACAGCCAGCTTTTTAGCTAACATTCCATCCACTCATTCTTTCTGAGTTCCATCCTATCATATACAGATTATTATTTTGTTACTGTGGAACTGTGTCTGGAAGTAGCAGCTGGTAGAAACTTCTTCCAAGGAACAAATTCTTTACCATTTGCTCATCCTCCATTATTACCAACCTAAATACATTTACATTCAGTTCTATGCTGCCCCATATCCTGCCACCCCTCACCTGCTTGTGACCCTATGTCCATGGCATCTGTTGGCTGAGTTCTATGATAAAATAACGTATCCATCACAGGTTTGCACACAGTCACTATGTCACTAATAGGGAGCAAACCTGACTAGTGCATTATGGGACCTTTTAACATAAACTCCATTGACCAACGTAGACACTGAAAACACCCATTAGGCAAACAAAAACATTCTCACATTGAACGATAGGGAAATAAAAATAAAGGGATTCATTACTAGTTCCGAGGCAGTAAGAGTTCTTGTTAACAGGCGCAGCCTAAACTGCTCTCAGAGGGAACATTTCTACAATATATTAGTTTTATTTACTTTTTGTGTATATGAAAAATGATCTAAACAGAATTACAGGACACATATTGGGTTTTAGTAAAAATAATATCACATTGAAAGCCAAACCAGAAAGGTAAATAAACAGTGCCCTTTTTATTTCCATAATAACAGTAAAGCTTTGAAAATTGTATTTGGAGAATGCTGGTCCCTTCTTCACTTATCAGTATTTCTGCAGACATTTTTACTAATGGCTCATTTTTTCCCAGGTCAGGAGATTATAACCATTGATCACTGTAGCTGTTACTGAACTACAACTTTCATCGCACCCAGGCGGCTCCAGGATTGCAGTGGTTATTAGGTTATCCAATCATTTCAATGCATATTTGGTAGGCTTAACATACTTTGATACTTGAGAGTGCTGTCTGGTGTCTGACAGTGTAGTTAATAGGGTCAATTTGTGAAATTAAAGGAATATTTCAAGCACCGTAACCAATAGCACCGGAACCAGCATGTGCCCTGGCACCCGATCCCCCATGTAATGAGTCAAATCTTTTTAGAAAAGTTTGACAGGCACTGCTCCCTACCTCTGCTACTTCCTAGGTAGAGCTGGGAGCTTTATCTGAGTGAAGCTCAACGGTGTATGGGTCAGCTCATTGGCTGAGAATAATCTATCTACGTACTTAACCAATGAGGTCAGGGTTAGGCTCAGGAGAGCTACGAAAGCTCCTGGCCAGGAACTTACCACTTTTCATCGGAAGGAGTGGAGGAAGGCGGGTAAAAAGTCAAACAATTCTAAAACATTTTGAGTAGTACAGCTGTAGTTGTAAGGGGGGTTTGAAATGTTCCTTTAATCATTTAGTCACGGCAGTTGCTTTTTTATGTCAGCTGTGATTACTTCAATGATTACACACAGGGGTAGCAATTTTAATCCCTACCTCAGAACAATTATTCATAATTGTACCAAAATTTACGAGAGGTTCCTTATCACCATTCCATAATAATAAAAACGCTTAGCTTCCACTGCGAGAGGAGTAGTTGAGGAATAAAAGGAGAATATGTACCATTTTTATGAGACCAGCACAGCCTTTTCTACTTTATACCTGTTTTCCTATGTCCCTGCACACCTCATATACTCATGGAGTAGACGGTGACTGAGAGAGATGTAGATAAATATCTTGCCTTTGGGATGTTTGGGTTCTTTAAAATTATCATTGCTACTGTGTCTCATTTTCTCTCTGATACTGGGTCGAGAATCTTAATAAACTGTTACATTTCTGATAGAACTGGGCATTGATGTGGTTTCTTCTTTGATCTTCTCTCGTCGAAAATTTTTGTGTTGACGGAGACAGATTTCCCACCAGGTGGATTCGACACGCAGCCTAGAGCAGTGATGGTGTATTCAGGTACTCCAAGACTTTTTAAACATTTCACATGTTGCCCAGCCAATTACATGGCTTGTTGAGAAGAATAATATGTGTATTTCACAAGTATCTGGGATCCTTTGGTTAGCCATCACTAGCCTAAAGTGTAATTTTTTTTAAATAGACTTTTGCATTCAGTTTCAAACTAACTGCAATTCTGAATTTTAGCTGGTCAGCGTCTGAATTCCAAACCTCAAAATTGCCGTATGAATTAATCACATCCCAACAACCACAGGCAATGGTCAACCAGATCGATGTGTTTCATGAATGATGATTAATGCCATGCATAAGTCTACTTTTTGTTGACCTTGTCATAGTCCATTAAAGTTCCAGTTCCAGTTCCATTTCCAATTACCATTTTTTTGTTCATGCTTCTCATACTTTGAACCAATAGCCTGCCCACAAAGCCTTTTATTTAGCTTAAAGGGAAACTCCAGTGCCAGGAAAACAATCCATTTTCCTGGCACTGCAGGTCTCCTCTCCCTCCCACCCCCCAATCCCTGGTTGCTGAAGGGGTGAAAACTTACCTGAGGCAGCGATGATGTCCCTCGTCATTGCTTCCTCCTCCGCGCCGCTCCTCCTTCTGACTGCGTCGGCCGGTGGACGAGACTGATCCCGCCCACCGGCCAGGGAGACCTAATGCACAATCGCGGCATTGCATTAGCGCTCCCCATAGGAAAGCATTGAAAATGCATTTCAATGCTTTCCTATGAGGAAATGAGCGACGCTGGAGGTCCTCACACAGCGTGAGGACGTCCAGCGACGCTCTAGCACAGGTTTCCTGTGCTAGGAACCAGGAAGTGCCCTCTACTGGCTGTCTAGTAGAGAGATGTAGATAAATATCTTGCCTTTGGGATGTTTGGGTTCTTTAAAATTAGACAGCCACTAGAGGTGGAGCTAACCCTGCAAGGTAATTATTACAGTTTATAAAAAACTGCAATAATTACAGTTGCAGGGTTAAGAGTAGTGGGAGTTGGCACCCAGACCACTCCAATGGGCAGAAGTGGTCTGGGTGCCTGGAGTGTCCCTTTAAAGTTTATTAGGGGGTGGGTACATGGAGGCTTTTTGTCTGGGGGAGCACAAGAAGTAAGCCATACCTAACCAATAAACTTAAAAATGGGAATTTTGTATCAGTTCCTTGCGGCACTAGAATACCTCATTACATATGAGGCAACTCGGCAGTGGACTTGGGCCGGGTACGCTCCATTCTTATTGATTAAATCCAACATTCAAGTTACATTTGTTTCCCTGAACTTTAAGGATTATCAAACACAGAAATTTGCAACACTGGCTGACCCAGAAAGTATTGGACTGAAACAATAACACTATGACAGATCTATAACATGATTTATCATTTGAGAAATGGTTCTAGCAAGGAATAATGGAAGGAGATATATCAACAACGTGACACATCTTTACATCGGAAAGCTGGGTACCTTCTGTTTTGTATCTAAAGGAAGTCTGTGCCAGAAATATGTCCGTAGTAGGGTGGACAATCAGTTTCTTTGTCTAACCTTGCAGCATGACTTGTTTGTTGCAACGGGTAATCGAAGGAGAGCAGAGGTCCCTACGGGAAAGGTGTAGGTTGAAGTTTCCTTATTAATGCAGTAAGTCACAGTGTACTGAGCATCCATGTAAGCAGTTTAAAATGAGAAAACTACTCTGGATACTGCTGAAACGAGCAACTTTCAGAGGAAATGCAGACATAATATAGTTTTCTATAATAGGTGAATACTGCTCAAAGGCGATTTTGTCAAACGATCCCTTTTTCTAGACCATCACAAATTATTTTTTACCCCCAATTACCACCTGCCAGCATGAGTATGAAAGTATGATGGAAGTCAAGGAAATGTATTTATCATTTATAATTGTGTAACAGTTGGAATAAAAATAGATTTTCAGAAATAGAAAAAAAGCAAAGAAATAGAAAAGGGGCTGTTGGGTGGCAGGGCATTTTAACCATATGCCCCCCCCTCCACCCCCATTAGGTAAGTGCCTAGGTCCCACAACCAAATCAGAGGCTCACTCAGGGGCCCCTACTCATCACTTGTATATGAGAAGATGAACATACCACTTCCAGCATCTTACTGCTGCTGTAGCATTATTGGTGATGATAGTCAAGAACTAATTGGTCTGCTCTATTGACTGTCTACAGCGCCGCCTTGTGTTGAGGAAAGGAGCCTGCTATTACTTTGTGCTTTAAGGTTCATTAGATGTTGCCAACTTTTAGGAACTTTATATATGACCTACACCATGTATGTATAGCATTCAACAGTATCCACACACAGCCACCACTATTAAAAATCCCAGAACCTCCAAATCTAAATGGTTGATCCATACTCATACCAGATTCTCTCCCAATCCCCCAAGACCCAACTAACCTATTTCCACAATTCATTAAAACTAAATTGAAATACACTGAACAAAATTATAAATGCAACACTTTTGTTTTTGCCCCTATTTTTCATGAGCTGAACTCAAAGATCTAAGACTTTTTCTATGTGCACAAAAGGCCTATTTCTCTCAAATTTTGTTCACAAATCTGTCTAAATCTGTGTTAGTGAGCCCTTCTCCTTTGCCGAGATAATCCATCCACAGGTGTGGCATATTAAGATGCTGATTAGATAGCATGATTATTGAACAGGTGTGCCCTAGGCTGGCCACAATAAAAGGCCACTCTAAAATGTGCAGTTTTACTGTATTGGAGGAATCCGGGGGGGGGGGGTCTGAAAACCAGTCAGTATCTGGTGTGACCACCATTTGCCTCAAGCAGTGTAACACATCTCCTTCGCATAGAGTTGATCAGGTTGTTGATTGTGGCCTGTGGAATGTTAGTCCACTCCTCTTCAATGGCTGTGTGAAGTTGCTGGATATTGGCAGGACCTGGAACACGCTGTCGTATACGCCGATACAGAGCATCCCAGAAATAGAATGTGATGGCAGATAAGAACCATTTGGCCCATCGAGTCTGCCCAATTTTCTAAATACTTTCATTAGTCCCTAGCCTTATCTTATAGCTAGGATAACCTTATGCCTATCCCACACATGCTTAAACTCCTTTACTGTGTTAACCTCTACTCAATGGAAATGCTCAATGGGTCCGGTGAGTATGCTGGCCATGCAAGAACTGGGATGTTTTCAGCTTCCAGGAATTGTGTACAGATCCTTGCAACATGGGACCATGCATTATCATGCTGCAATATGAGGTGATGGTTGTAGATGAGTGGCACAAAAATGGGCCTAAGGATCTTGTCACAGTATCTCTGTGCATTCAAAATGTCATCAATAAAATGCACCTGTGTTTGTTGTCCATAACATACGATATACCATAATCTCATCGCCGCAATGGGCCACTCGATTCAGCAAACTGCTCACTCACACGACACCATACACGCTGCACAGTGAAAATCGGGATTCATTTGTGAAGAGAACACCTCTCCAAAGTGCCAGACACCATCGAATGTGAGCATTTGCCAACTCAAGTTGGTTTCGACAATAAACTGCAGTCAGAGACCCCGATGAGGACGACGAGCACGCAGATGAGCTTCCCTGAGACTGTTTCTGACAGTTTGTGCAGAAATTCTTTGGTTATGCAAACGGAATGTTGCAGCATCTGTCCGGGTGGCTGGTCTCAGACAATCTTGGAGGTGAAGATGCTGGATGTGGAGGTCCTGGACTGGTGTGGTTACACATGGTCTGCGGTTGTGAGGCTGTTTGAATGTACTGCCAAATTCTCTGAAACGCCTTTGGAGACGGCTTATGGTAGAGAAATTAACATTCAATTCACGGGCAACAGCTCTGGTGGACATTCCTGCAGTCAGCATGCCAATTGCACGCTCCCTCAAAACTTGCGACATCTGTGGCATTGTGTTGTGTGATAAAACTTCACATTTTAGAGCGGCCTTTTATTGTGGCTAGCCTAAGGCACACCTTTACAATAATCACGTCTAATCAGCATCTTGATATGCCTCACCTGACCTGTGAGGTAGATGGATTATTTTGGCAAAGGAGACACAGAGCTCACTAACACAGATTTGTGAACAATATTTGTGAGAAAAAGGCCTTTTGTGTACATAGAAAAAGTCTTAGATCTTTGAGTTCAGCTCATGAAAAATATGGGCAAAAACAAAATTGTTGCGTTTATAATTCTATTCAGTGTATGTATGAATATATATATATATATATATATATATATATACACACACACACACACACACACACACAATTTAATTTTTATATTTAATAAATTTAATTCACAGAATAAAAGTTATGTTTTAGACTGTGACAGAACTCTAGGGCAATTAAGTGGCAGAGTGTAGCTGGGAAATAATTATAGAATTGGCCAAGAATGCAGGCAATACATGGGCAACTCACGAAGAGTCATCTTTCAGCACCCAGGAGAGGACAAACCCTTGTGGAGGAAACCTCTGGGGAGCCATGACTTACAGGACTGCCCTTTACTCTGTGCATTAAGAGGTTGATGGAAATGGGATTTGCTCTATCCTCATCAAGTGACACCATGCAGAAGGCATGCCTTCAGGATGACGGTCCAATGAAGGTACAAATTTGATCCATTTATTCTCTAGGGCAGACTGTTCTAGCACTGTACATGCGCGTGTAACGTCACGGTATGCTACAGTATAAGAGCCGGGAAGTAACAATATCATACAGGGAGTGCAGAATTATAAGGCAAGTTGTATTTTTGAGGATTAATTTTATTATTGAACAACAACCATGTTCTCAATGAACCCAAAAAACTAATTAATATCAAAGCTGAATATTTTTGGAAGTAGTTTTTAGTTTGTTTTTAGTTATAGCTATGTTAGGGGGATATCTGTGTGTGCAGGTGACTATTA